AGCAGGTGTACTGTGGTGACATTTTGTTTATGATCTAACAAAGTAAAGCTTGCCTGAAGACCAGAGAGCAAAGTTAGCTACACTAGTCAGCCTTACAAGTTAGCCAGTGGTGGCACATACCTTTGATCCTAGCAGCCACATTAGTTAGCCATAGAGGCTGGGCTGTGGTGGTGCACACTTTTAATACCAGTACTAGGGAGGAATATAAGATGGGAGGAGACAGGAACTCATGAATTCTGAGTGGTGGAGACAGGATTGCCTGTTTCAGTCTGAGGTAGAGGTAAGAGCTTGTGGCTGCCACTTTGCTTTTCTCATCTTCAGCTTTAACCCCAAAATCTGCCTCTGGGTTTCTGTTATACATGCTACAGTGTACTGAGTAAGAATCAGTAAGAGAGACCCTCCCGTGAAAGAAATGCCAGGCCTTTGGAAGTGGCAGTAAGGGAACATAGGGACCTACAGACACAGGTAGTCAGCACTGGCAAGGAAATGGCAGGTAGATCCTAGAAACAATTTTGTCTTGTTAACAAGTTTAAATATTCTTTTCTGTACCTTATTAGGAGAGACTCTACATAGTCTGCTAAACTCTTGAGCCATATCTTAGCTGCAACAAGAGGGAGGGACAGCGTCCCCTGGTGGAGTCAAATCACATAGCCTAAGAATAGTAAGAGTGGAGATGCTGAATGGGAAGGTAGGACAGCATCCGGAATGAGTAGCCAGAATGGAGTTGTGCATTTGTAATCCTCAAATACATAGGAAAAGAAATGTCCTTTCCTGCCTCCAGCTGAGTGCTAGGATTGCAGGTTTGTGCCATCAAGGTAATCAAGGTAAAATGTAGATTCCTGGGCATGGAGAGATGCTCATCTTACTTACTGCTCTTGCAAAGGACCTGAGTTCAGTTGCCAGCACCCATGGCTCAAAACCACCTTTAAATCCAGCTTCAGCAGACCCAGCATCCTCCTCTGGCCTACACAAACACACACACACACACACACACACACACACACACACACACACTCACACACACACACACACACACACGTTCATACACAAACATACGTACTATCATAGTTAGGGTCTTATTGCTGTGAAGAGATGTCATGACCACAACAACTCTTACACAGGAAAACATTTATTTGGGGCTGGCTTACAGAAATTTACGTTATCATCATGACGGAAGTATGGCAGCATGAAGGAAGACACGGTGCTGGAGAGGTAGCTGAGACTTCTATATCAGGATCCACAGGCAGCAGGAAGTGACTGTGACACACTACCAGTTTTGAGCAACTTAGACCTTAAACCCCACCCCTTAGTGACATACTTCCTCCAACAAAACCAAACCTACTCCAACAAGGCCATACCTTCTAATAGTGCCACTCTCTATGGACCTATAGGGGCCATTTTTATTCCAACCACACACACATAAGTAAAACAAAATGCACCTATTTAAAAGTGTAGAATCCTTAGCATAATGTGTGATCTGGCATCTGTCTATTCTATTTGCATTAAGGTTTTACCAAGCTGCTTAAATCTTCCTAGCAGATATCTATTGCTCTCTTGAGATTTTATTGTTTTAATTTTTACTTGAGAGTGTCCTTGAATGTCACTTCTTGTCCTTGTTAGTTATACTCTTTGATTTCTGTACTCTTCTGTTTTTCCACCCCTAGAAGTGACCTGTATAGTGAGCTCAGGGCTAAGTTGAATATCTGTTGCTTTGGGCTGCCACAGCACCCTGGGCAGTCATTTCCTAGATACTGGTCAATGGCAATTGGAGAACCAGGCATCCTAGTTTGCATCTGCATAAATCTAAACCTCTATTAACTTGTTCATGTCATGAAAACATGAACACCTTGACAGTCCAGATTGATTGTATGCTCATTAGGTTTTCAAGACTTTATTTCTTCAGTATATTAGGACAATTTTGGTGCCTAGCTATAATGTTCATTATAACCAAGTTGTTTAAATACTATTGTATTAATTAAATTGTATTAATTAAATACTATTGTATAAGGCATTCTGCGCAATTTTAGTTTCACACAATTCCCTTACTCAGCTTTAATACATACATACATACATACATACATACATACTACACACACACACACACACACACAGCACACTAAGGTGTTCTAACATGCTGGCCAAGTTTTTTGATTACATTTAGTCTGCCCTTCACCAGTATCATCTTGTCAGTTTCTGTTTCAGTTACTTGTATATAGCAAATACCTTTGGAAGTGCCTGGCACATAGTAGGTGCTCAGTAAATATATATTAAATGAATAGATTTGACAAAATAAGAATTCTTCTTTGAGAGTTCATAATCTTGTTTTTTGATACTGACTTTGAATTCATGACTCTCCTTCTTCAACCTCCTCATTGCTATTACAAACATGTGCCTAGATCTAATTCTTTATTCATAAAATGAAAATGTTTGGATGTCAAAAGGCTAATTTTCTTAAGGACACACACACACACATATAAACACACCCTTTCTGACAACCAATTATTGCTCAGGACAACTTTTCTAAGATATACAGAAAGTAAATTAGCATAGTTTTAAAAGATTTATTTTATGGGTATGCATGTTTTGCCTGCATGTATAAATGTGTGTCACATACCCCCTGGTGCCCTCAGAGTCAGAAGAGGGCAGCAAATCCCTTAGAACTACTGTTAAGGTGATTGTGACCTGTTACGTGGTGCTGGAAACCAAACCTGGATCCCCTGCAAGAACAAGTGCTTTTCACCATTGAGCCATCTCTCTAGCCCCCATGATAGTTTTTAAACAGAGAAATTCTTACCAAGAAACTTTTAGAGGGGCTGGAAAAATGGCTCAGTGATTAAGAGTTTGTACTGCTCTTTTAGAGGACCTGAGTTCAGGTCCCAGAACTCAAAATGCAGCTTACCACCACCTATATTCCACCCTGGGGAATCAGATGCCCTCTTCTAGACTCCAAAGGCACTGGTGTTTATGGACATACATACTCACACAGACACACATACACATAATTTAAAAATGAACCTTAGAAGAAATTTGTAGAAATTATTCTTCCTTATTGCATTGTGAACACATATGGCAAAGGAGTATACAGAAATTGGTGACATCTGCCAAATACCCATCTGCTTCATCTTTTAATTCTGTTTCTTGTCTTCAGAGTTCTTGTATGGAGGAGTCCTAAAGTTACCTGAGTGTTGAGACAAATTTTCAGGACATGCTGTCTTAGTGTGTAAGATGGTTCCCAATGGTCTTTGCCTCCTGGCAGTCACTCTGCAGTGACTACCTGAATATTCTGCAAACCAGTATTCACTTTACAGAGTCTGTGTGACCAATTTACTAACCCAGAAGTGACAGTGTCTTCATGAAAGTGTCTGCCATCTAAGTAAGCAATGTAGAATGCAGACTCCAACCACCATCAAGCAAACCTTCAGATGACTGCAACCCTGGTGGACAATCTGCCTGCAACTTTGAGAACTTGAACCAGAACTCCACTCCCAAATTCCTGACCTGTAGTAAAGTTTGAGGAAGTAAATGATTACTGTAAAGTATTCTGGATTTGTAAAGGATAATATCAACCCAATACTGCCCATTGGTAGACCAAGTGTTCTACCATTGAGCTTCATCCCCAGCTAAAATTTCTTTTAATGGAAACGAAATTTGACTGCGTGTGTTAAGTTTTCATTTTATTAAGTACATACAACAGTGGAATACAGCTTTTACGTGGCTAAAGCAAATAAAAATTTCAAATTAAAAACAAAACAAAAAACAAACCGAGAACATTGCGAAACTACCCAAAGAAAAATCAATAGTAAGGGGCTCCGTGGTAAAGAGCTCTTGTTGCTCTTCCAGAGGACCCAGTTTCAGCTCCCAGCATCTAAATTGCGTGGCTCACAACCACATGAAACTCCAGCTCCAGGGGACAGGGGCAGGATAGGTCTTCCTGGCCGGTAAACACACACAAATGAAAACCAAACAGATCTCAACAAAAGCGTCGGGCTGAGGATGTAGCCCCTCAGAGCTGGTAGAGTGCTTGCCTAAGGCGGATTAATAAATCCTGGTTTCCATCCCCAAAAACTGCACAACAACCACATGTAGTGGCGCAGGCTTGTATTCTGTGCACTTTCGAAGGATCAACGGTTCAATGTTATCCTCAGCAGCGTAGATTCAACCAACTCCTGGAGGTGGATCTTCTAGAAACCCAGCCCTCTCACACACTTGGTCATCGCATCTTAGGCTTCCTCAACTTGTGGGAACTTTCAAAGTCACCCGGTCGCCACGACTCTCATTCCTGTCCTTCCAACAAGTATCTTCCTGAGGAGTGCGCACACGCCCAGCACCTAGGACGGCAGCAGCTTTCAAGTCCTGGGTTCTCCTCCACCTTCGCTTTCCTTAGCGAGGCCCGGGGCTTCCCGTCCTCACCCGGCGTTCTTAACCGAAGGACAGTCGGGAACTCCCCGCCGCCCTCTGTATGGGGATATGTAAGGGGAAGCACACTATTATCTCCTTCAGCGTTGAGGTGTCGTGCGATCCCGCCTGGGCTGGGGAACTGCTCCTCGAGGTCATGCACCCTGCAGCGCTGCCCATTGCTGAGGGAGTCGGACAACAACTTCGGCAGTCAAGTGCGGGTTCCGTATGCGCTATGCCCGCCCCAACCGCTGGGGAGCACTAGCATGCGGGTCACAGCGCGTGCTCTGTGTGCTTAAGACGCGCGTGCTCTCTGGTCTCTTCGCCTCCGCCAGCGCATAGCCCCATGGGAAATGTAGTTTCTAGGGCTTGGAATGTTAGTCACGCCTCCTGCCTAGGCTCAGAGCGGGACTACAGCTCCCGGCCATCCGGCCGACGGCGGTGCGAGGACGGGACGCGAACTAAAGGGCGGGGCGAGAGCGAGGAGGGCGGAACGGGTGGGAAGGCCGCGCGCGCGGGGGCGGGGCTTCGGCCGCGGAGCCGCTCGCTGCCGCTTGCGGTCCGGACCTGAGGCGCCAGCCGAGGACACGGCGCCGGGTGCGGGCTCGGGCGCGAGCCCTGCCGGTGGCACTCGGTGATCTTAGGTCCCCTCGCTCTCGGCCGGGACGCAGGAGAGAGCAGCGCGCGGCCGGGGCGCTAGGTGGTTCAGGCGGGGGCGGCCAATGCGAAACTGGCTGGTGCTGCTGTGCCCGTGCGTGCTCGGGGCCGCGCTGCACCTCTGGCACCTCTGGCTGCGCTCCCCGCCGCCCCCCCGCGCCTCCGGGCCCGGCGCGGCAGGTGAGGTGCGGGGCTGGGTGGCTGCGCGCGTGGGAGGCCGCGGGAAGGGCCGGAGGGGCACCGAGCGGGTGCGGACGTCCCGGGACAGACTGAACAAACGGGTCTTTTCATCCGCGTCGGGCGAACTCGGCTGCGTTTCTTTCTCAGCGTGTGCTCAGCGGCCCACACGGTGCTCCGGGGCCTTGGTCACAACTTGGGGGGGGGGCATCTCTCCGAGGGGGGCCGCGAGCGTGCCGGTGCTGACGGGGCTGGCTTCGCGTGTCAGAACTCACTTTGCGGTGAGGAGAGACTTGACTGTACTTTGTGTTCCCTGATCATGAGGTGAGCTGGTGAAACACTTCTAGACGTGAACTAGGGCGCAGCTCAGAGTGCAGTCGCCGCTGCCGTTCTGCTTGGGTAGCTTGCTAATAAAGGAGCATGTGAATACGGGATTCTTAACTCTCGGGTCCATTTGTTCCCAAACTTCATCCCTCGTGGGAATGAAATCTTTGTTTTCATTCGCTCAGTGTTGTCCCACCACCCTGAACACTGCCTTAGGGTCCCCTTTATGTCTTTTTCAAGTTTTTGTGTGTGTTTTTGTTTTGTTTTGTTTTGTTTTTTGTTTTTCTATTCCCCTCTTCCCCCGGAAAGCTTATATAGACCTAGATGGTTATTTTTAAAGATAGGGTAATGCTTGTTTTTTGTTTTGTTTTTGTTAAACTACGTTAGGATTTATCTTACCACTTATATCCAAACAGCTGTTTTCTTTTCAGAAAGTTTAAAAACAGGCCTTCACAGTCAGCATAGGACTGAGCCTTATAACGTATTTAGCAATCCTTAAAACTCTCCAGCTGTTACCAGATTACGCTGGAGTTATTTTAGTAATGATCTCTTTTCCTATTAGAGAAATCACCAGCTTTTGGAAAGGTTATTTGTGTGATTGAAAATAATTAACCACCTAAGTGATGTAATGAAAGTACAACATTAGTGTGTGTTTAGCTTGCTAAACAGGTGGGGGTTTTACAAAACTAGTTGAGAAAAGTGTCATGCATACAAAACACTTTGCAACCTAACATCTGTTGGGGTTGTGTTTTGTGGGTTTCTTTCTCTTTTTCTTTTAAATAGATGAGAGAGTTGCTAGGATCTACTTGCACAGCCAATAGAATACATACAGCCCCCACATGAGCAGTCTTTTTGGGTTCAACATAATAAACCTTGCCTCTGAACTTGTATTTTAGTAAGCCTGCAAGCAATTTTTGGGTTTGAACCAGATTATTTCCTATCCTTTTAATGTTTGAATGATGCTTTGGAACTTATCCATTTAGACTAGAGGAGGTTCTTTCAGGAAACAAATTGTAGGAAGGGTCAGAATCATATAGGTTCCTACTAGTTGTAAAAAGTTTTGTTGATACTGGAACTTTGTCAGATATGTTTTTATTTATTTATTTTTCTTATTGTTCATATTGATTCCAGTTCCCTCTCCTTCCCATCTCCCCCACTCCACAGGAAGGGTGAGGCCTTTCAGGAGGGATCATCAAAATTTGTCAAGTCATTTGGGGTAGGGACTAGGCCCTCCCATGTATCTCTAGGTTAAGGGAGTATCCCTCCATGGGGAATGAGCTCCCGAAGTCCTTTCGTGCACCAAGGATACATCCTGATTCCACTGCCAAAGGTCCTGTAGACTGCCCAGGCCTTCTAACTGAGATTCACATTGAGGGGGTCTGGGTTGATGAGATAATGTTTTAATATAAAGCCAGATTCCTATCCCACTCTTCTCCCTTCAAAAACAAAAGCAATATTTTGATTGCAACTTTTTCCCACAGGCCTTTTTCCTATTTTGCTGTTGAAATATTTAAAACATTTGGGCATATTTACATTTTAGTCTTTAAGCCTAAAACTCAAGCCTTTACTTGAGGTCGTGTGTGTGTGTGTGTGTGTGTGTGTGTGTGTGTGTGTGCGTCACAGAGCTCTTGTAGAAGTCAAAGGACAATTTGAGAGTTCTCTTCTACCATGTTGGTTCTGGAAATCAAACTCTGAACATCAAACTTGGGGCAAGTCCTTTGACCTGATGAACTGTTTCAAAGCCCAGTAATTTTTTGAAAGGGAAATTTACTTTCCCTGAATATTAGAAAAGCACTCCTGGCTGACAGTTGGTTCAGCAAATGGTAGTAAGCTGCTGGACTATCTCCTCTTGCAGGTTGGAATTAGCAAATAATCAAAATAAAGTACCTGCCCTCCAGGTGTTAACCATTTGAAAGGGAAGACAGCATAAGACTATAAATGTAAATGTCACAGGGATGGTGAGTGTGATGAAGGAAGACTGAAGCAGTTTCTAAGAGGGTAAACAGAGATCAAGGAAAGCCACTGTGAAGAGATGACGGTTGAGCAAGGACCTGAGGGGAGTGAGTCATGTTAGTACTAAGATTAGCAATTTTTCTAATGTGGCTTTAAACAGCACTGGAGAGGAGGAAGGTCTCTTGTGAAACACAGCATTCCAGAGGGACAGACGGCAAAGGAAAATACAGCCTTTGGACCAGGAGATATAAACTGTGACTTGATCACTGGTTCTAGACAGTGCCTTACAGAAATTATACAGTGGCTAATATAGAAAGATGATGTGACCTAGTGGTCAATATAGAAAAATAAGTGACTGAGAAAAGGCTTCTCTTTGTAAGATATCTGGAAAGAAGGAAGCCAGCACCGGAAAGAAGAGGAACTTATCACCAGGTATGTATGTACTACCTGGAGAGCTAGGTGTAGGACTGGATACCTGGGTACAGTATGTTTGGAGACAGACAGGGCAAGCAGCTCAAAAACAAATTGAGCTTGATGGCCAGCTTTTTGTCTAGGGCTGGTTCTTCCAAAATTATCCCTCTAGGCTGTATCTCAGGGCTTCACTTCCCATGTTTATAAACTGATGAGCTATAAAGATGAGTTCACCAAAACACTCAGAGCAGCACCCAGTCACTAAACACTCCAGGAATTCTGGAAAGTGCTGGTGGTAAGGAGGTGGCTAAAGCCTGTGTCAGTAAGGTTCCTTTGAAGCTGGCAAGAGCACACTGTAGTGAGGCAGTGACTATTTCATCAGTAGATGGACTCAATGTTTCTCTTCATTTTCAATATTTTTGCCTGATTGTGATAGATGCCATCCAAGAGCATACATACGAGGTTTTGTGGGGGTTTATTTGTTTTGACTTCTTAAGCTTATTTTGAAAAATCAGTTTTGAGGTCAACGTCCCTTAGACTTTAATATCCACGGTCATGAAAAGCTCAGCAGGTTGCCAGACTCTTGGGAAAGATTACATATTAATATAAATAGTCATTGCTCTTGGGGTGCTTGCTTGGGGTTGTAATTATTCTTGTCATTGTGGAGATCTTGTTCCCTGTAGGCCTGTGCCAATTAGCACAGCAGACCTAGGAAATGCTCAGTTTGAATGAGTGAATCAGGAGATTAAAATTGAGAAGATACAGTTTTTCTACCTGTATTGTCTGTTTACATGCCATGAGGACCTTATAATTTAAATATATTTCTTTCATAAAGGGAAACAAGTTCTGTGGAGGAAAAGTTGAAATTATTTTAAATGAAAGGAAAGAAACATGATCTGTACTTATACATTATTTTCAATATAATACATGTTTTGAAAAATGTATTTTAAAAATGTTTTTGATGTTTCATACACATGCTTTTTAGGCATGTGACTATGCTGGGTGATACATTTTTATAAGCTGAGCACTCTCAATCATGTTAATTTTAAATAGGAAAACTATGGGGTTGGGAATCTAACTCAGTTGGTAAAATGCTTGTCTTACAAGCATTCGGATCTAAATTAGATCTCAGCCAGGCATGTTGTAATCCCAGCCGAGCACTGAGGAAATGGAGAGTGGAGGGTCCTGGAGTTTACCCAGCCTAGATGGATCAGTGAATTACAATTAAAAGTGAGAGAGCCTACCTCAAAAAACAAGATGGATAGCATTTAGGAATAAAATGTCAGCAACTCTCCCTGAAGTGTTGAATATATATTCAAAGTGTGCCCTGAGTTTGTTTTTGTGGGTTTTTTTTTTTTTTTTTTTTTTTTGTTCTGTTTTGTTTTGAGACAGATTCTCTCTCCAGGAACTCACTATGTAGACCAGGCTGGCCTCAAACTCATAGAGGTCCATCTGCTTCTGTTTTTGCCAGTGCTGAGATTAAAGGCATGTGCCACAAGTCCCAACTCCAGTATTCCCAGTAAAAGACTTCCAGGTTACAGTCTTACCAACAGTGAGGTAGACTAGCTATTGTCCTGAGAACACTGTCAGCATTCTCTTGAAGTACCATCATTTGTTTACCTTATAAGAAGACATTTGTCACTGCAAATGCAGAAGAAATATAGTGTATAGTTGCTGGATTTCAATCTTGATTTTAAGTGAAGCTAGGCTTTTATTTCCTCCCAGAGGTTGTTGCCTTTTTTCAGGACTTGTCCTTTAGTGCTTTATGTCTTAGCCACCTCCCCTTCTTATTTCTAGATACTGGAATCAAAGCTATGTTTCTTATGCTTGTTCCATGTAACAGTGTGATGAGTATATAAAACAAAATTAGTGAGAGGAGCTATGAGCCTCAGTGGCTGGCTACCCTACCTAGGTACCTAAAGCACCCACCTGAAACTTTTACCCTTTTATATGAGGACTGTGTTGGGGGTTTATTATTGGCATCTGTGGTAGAAGAACTTGTTTCTCTTAATTTATCTGGGAGTAGAAGTTTTCTAGAAGGCCAAGAAACACTGAGTTTCTTGAGAGAGAGAGAGAGAGAGAGAGAGAGAGAGAGAGAGAGAGAGAGAGAGAGAGAGATTCCTTCAAAGAGAAGCAGTTTATCAGTGGTTTACATGGGGATTAGAAACAGACATCAGAACTGACATTGAACTGAGGCATGGCATAAGATCAAAAAGTATTTTACAAAGATAACTGGTTATCTTTGTGTGTATTTAGTTGTTTTAAACAAAACCAGAAACCTTGTTTGGCAATAATCTGGATGTTCATGGAGAAGCTAGCTTCAGTAAAGGCTTACAGTCTAAATGGAAGCTAGATTTAGAGCCCAGAAAGGGGTAGGTTTGAGAAAATTTTTTTATGAAAAGTTTGACTAGACACCAGAAACAGGGTACTATTTGGCAATCATGGATATTTGGATTGTTCTGAAATTTTGTTTTTGTGTAGAAACCTTGTTTTCTGATGTCAGATTAACAAAGCACTGGCTAGATGTGACTTTTGACCTTTTTCAGATTTTTAATCTTTTAGAAAGGCATTTTAAAAACAGAGGTAGTAGGTCATTTAAAAACTCTAGCTTGGTGTAGTGTTATTCAAATGTAATCCTGGCATTTGAGAGGTAGAGATAGGATCAGGAGTTCAAGGTCAGTTTCTGACCAAACCCATGACCCTGTCTCAAACAAAAAAACCTTTTCTGTTGGTTTCTCTTGATTAGGAAACGGAGGCACATGGGAAACTGGGGTAGTGCCTTATTTTAGCTGTGGGACCCTGTCAGGACTGGGTGGCTAGCACATTACCTCTATCCTGTCACTACAGTACACTTTTAATATCATTGGCAATTCTGTACAAGCATTTCAATTATATTTCAAATTTGACTCATTTACAGTTATTTTTAGCAATAGGTATAGCTTTTGATAAATTGTTAAATATCTAAGAAAAAGGTGCTTCTGGTCTGGATTTTTAAAAAATATTCATATTTAGGGTGAGGTACTGGATTCTCTGTATTGAATTATTTGCTGAGTAAGTATCTGTGTGTCATGGTGGTGACACATTAAGTCATACTGTAGGGCTGGGGATGAGTTTGTGGGTTGTTTTAAATTTAAAATAAAATTATAAATTTTATTTCTATTTATCTGTGTTCTATAAGCATAAGCATGTTTTATTTGTAATAAACTGCTGAAATATGCTGAGTTTACTGTAGTTGAGATGTTGTGAGTGACTTGTAGTCTATGTTGCTTATTTATAGGTCAATCAGCCTTATTTCCTCAGTGGAAATTTAGTCACTACGATGTGGTGGTTGGTGTGTTATCAGCTCGAAATAACCATGAACTTCGAAATGTGATAAGAAACACCTGGCTGAAGCATTTGTTGCAACATCCTACTTTAAGTCAACGGTAGGTCTTCTGGATTACTCCTTTGCCCATTTCAAGAATTGAAAAAATAAAACAAAAAACCCTTAAGTTTTAAAAGTCAGATATTGGGGCTGGAGAGATGGCTTGGTGGTTAAGAGCACTGGCCATCTTCCTGAGAGTCTAGGTTCAGTTCCCAACACCCACATGGTGACTCACAACTGTCTGTAACTCTAATTCCAGGGGATCTGATTTCCTTTCTGGTCTCTCTCTGGGCACTGCACACATGTGGTACACAGATATACAGGTAGACAAAACACTCATACATGTAAAATAAATCTTTATTTTAAAAGGAGAGATTGATTTAGAAACATGGCTCTTTTGGAAGAAATGGCTACTTTCTTTTGAATTTTAAAAGTAAGTTTTATCAAGATTTTAAGCCAGAAAGCACTTGGAAGAGTATGTTCTTGGGTTGGCATCCTAGAGTATTTTCAGTAACCTTTCTTTTTTCAGTTGTGTAATATTTTTAGTGTATAATGTATGGTGTGCATGGCATGCCATATTCTTTCCTACCCACCCTCCCAGAACTGGGTTTTGCACTGCCTCTCCTGCTGATAGTAGGCGGCCCAGCTGTTGGTCAGGAATGTTTGGGCATGAGTGGTTGTTGTGGGAAGTGAAAGCAAGGAAAACCAACATAACACTATGGTTTTTGTCTAAGCAGTTGAGGGCAAGTTCTTATTGGGCATGATGGGAAAGATACTGGAACTCAGTTCTGGAGGAGCATTAAAGGCCTTATCCTTGCTACATAATAGGATTTAGTATTGCAGTCATGTACTAAGGACCCGAGACCCTTCTCAATGTGAGCATCTCCTAAGACTGCAGTGAGGACCTGAGGAGAGAGGCCTGGGGGTGAGCTGCCTAACATGGGAAAACACTGAGGCTGTAGCAGAGAAAGTCCTCTTGGGGTTGTATTAAACTGTCACTTTCTTGGTTGGCTGTTAAGGTAAATTGCAGTTGGGAATTTTCTTGACACCTTCAGTGAACATGTATGGATTTCCTGTCTTCCTCATGGCAGCTTCCATTCCTCTTTCTGGTAGGTTTCCTTAGTATGTAACTGCAATAATAAATCCTGTTACCTAGCAAGGAATGGCCTCAGAACTACTTCCAGACTTTGAATTCCAGTATCTTTGCTGTCATGCCCAATAAGAATGTGCCACCAACTGTTCAGACCAAAATCATGGTGTTATGTTGGTTTTCCTTGCTTTCACTTCCCACACCAACCATTCACACATCCCTGGTACAGATTTTAGGTCATGCCTAGAATCAAACTTCTCAACACCCTTTACCACTGCCTTCCTTACCTAGCCTACTTTTGTCTGTCACTTAGATTGTTGCAGAAGTTTCCCTACATAGATTGCTTGCTTTTTTATCTTAGTCATATTCCACCTTATATTTTCCATATAGCTGCCATACCAGAATGATCCTCTTAAGATTAGTCAAATTTTGTTAATTCTCTATTCATACCCCTCCATTGATACTTGTGTTTGTATATGTGTGCAGGCTTGCACATGTGTGTACTTGCCTGTGCCTGTTGTCTTTTCTTAGAATAAAATCCTATCAGGCGTAGACAGGAGCTTAAGGTCATTCTCAACTGTATACTGAGTTTGAGGCCAGTCTTGGCTACATGACACTTATCTCTGAATAAATATAATAAAATAAAAACCCAAATCATAGTAGTCATTGACCTTTTCTCCATCACCTTCTCCTATGTAAGTCACTTACTGTGTTAACCTCATGCCCCCAGGGTTTATTTTTTTTTTAATGCATACCAAATAATGGTGGTTTCATTATTATAACATTTTCATAAGGTTTTCATTATACTTTGCTCATACTCGCCCTCACCATCTCATTGTTCCTGTTAGTCCCTCACCCGAAAGAGTCCACCCTTTTGCATTCGTATCTCTATGTCTCTCTCCCTCTCACAGTCACACTCAGTATCTGTGTTCTGCTTGTGAGAAAAACATGATGTTTCCTTTCCCATTCCCCATACCTACCCCAATTCCTATCCAAGCTTCTGCTTCAGAGCCTTTGCTGTTGACTAGACCACTCTTTCTTTAAATGTCCTCATGATAGTGTTCCATCAAGTCTCTGGTAGATGTTACCCAAGCAAACGGTGCAGATTAACTCTAATTCTTCATTACTGTCTTTCCTTGCTTACTTTATTATTATACTTATTACCAACTGGCATGTGTAATGCATTTGTAAGTTATTCATCATTCCCATCTTGGAGATAGGTTCTTTGGTTTTTTTGGTTTGTTTGTTTTGTTTTGTTTATATTAATGATAGAATTCCAGTATCTAGAACCTAGACTTGACTAAGAGTGAGGTACTCAACAATTGTTGAATGAATACATTAGAATTAAAAATAATCTGTATAACTTATACCAGTACTTCATTTGCCTTTGTAGCAGTTATTTAAATGTAGTAAGCTTGTATTTGTTTTCTGAAGATAATGGATTATCTATATAAAAACAGATTGAAGCCCAAAAATAACTTTCTAGAGCATAATAGTTATGTGGATTTAGTAAGGTTATTTAAAATAGCTACCAAAAAATGATGAGTATATATAAATTAAGTAGCATATTCACTGATGTCTGTCTGCACCTTTATTACAAATGCTAATTGTCTAGATAAGGTGTTCTACCTCGCTGGCCAGCAGTAAAAGACTGCATTCTGTGATTACGTTATTCTGTGATATCTTGTATTTGTACCAAAGGAGTCACACTCAGGGTTATTTATGAGGACTGTGTTTGGTTCTAAGCCTCTATAATAGACTGTAATTTGTCACTTTAATGTATTTATTGTTCTAAGCAGGTTGTGTACTATATGTGTTAAAGCACAAAGGTATAGTAGAACTGGAGTTTAGGGGCCCTTGAAGTTTAGTAAATAGAACTAAGTGTGGTAAAGCAGTGTGTGCTACAATGGAGATACATGTTAAATAGCCTGGAATGGGCCTGGAGAGCTGACTCAACAGTTAAGAATACTGGTTGCTCTTCCAGAGAAACCTGAGTTCTTATCCCTTGCAACCACCTGGAATTCCAGCTCCAGGAAATAACTCCTTTTTCTGGCAGCTGCAGGCACATTCATAGGCAACACAGGCTTGCATGTTCATACACACACACACACACACACACACACACGCACGCACGCACGCACGCACACACACACACACACACGAGAGAGAGAGAGAGAGAGAGAGAGAGAGAGAGAGAGAGAGAGAGAGAATGATAAAATCAGTCTTTTTTTAAATAGCCTGGGGTGCTTGAGAAATATCAGTCATTTGTAACCTGGGCTTTGTTGAAGGTGAGTGTTAGAGCAGAAGGAAGCCTGGCAAAGAAGGGGAAAGAGAGAAGACTGTAAGAGAGGGGGAAGGAGGAAAGCCTGTGGCTGTGAGAAATCAGCAGTGACCTGCTTAGCTCATGGCAAGCAGTTGTATAGAAGCTGACATGTTCAGACAAGAACTGCTGAGGAGTGTGACTCCTTAGTGGTGATCTCATCAAAGGATGTAGAAGAAACAGGAGGTGTGTCAGTGGCTGCTGGCTGGCTGCTGGCTGTCTGATGTGCTGAGGACTGGATGAAAAGAGAAAGAAGCTCAGCTGAGAATGTGTTTGAGATCAGGAACCCATAGGCTGTGGTGTCCTCTGTAAATGTTGATTGAATGGCTCTCTGTAAGAGTGCTTATAGGTACATAGATTTATCATAATTTTATTACTATAACAAGTGTAATGCATAATTGATAGGTAATAACACTCATGCAGTTAATTTTCATAGAATGCTTCTATTTTGCCAGGATATTAGGTCTGTAATGAACTTATGGCTGGAATCAGCAAAGGCATATAGCTCTGAGGTAAATATTTTAAGTTAAAGAATAAGACTTAAGTAAGGCTGGAGATATGGCTCAGCAAGTACCTACCTGTTCTTTCAGAGAACCCAGGTTCAATTACCAGCACCAACATGGCTGCTCATGACTGTATGAGATCAGTCCCAGGGAACCACTACCCTCTTCTGACCTCCATGAGAACTGCATGCATATAGCACATGGATGTACATGAAGGCAGAGTACCCCTACACATAAAAATAATAAATTGTTCAAAAAACTTTTCAAAGTAAGACCAAAGTATTTACTAAGATAGTCAGTACTTTATTTTCATCAATGAAGTCAATGCCTTCTTTGAATCAGCTAATAGTTTTTGGATGTTGAAAAAGTATTCAGATTTTTTTATTATTATTCACAAAGTAATGACTGAAGATCTATTATACTTAGTTTTAATCTGCATTACTAACATTTTCTCATACCTTCAGGCTAGACAAACAGTGATACAAGAAGTCCAGTCCTTATTTATATTGTTTATTGATTTTTGTGGTTTAAATATTTTACCAAGGCCAATTTCAAGCAACTACTGTGACATAACTGGGTATAGAACTGTGAAAAGATATATACCATGTACCATGAGTATTCCATCAAACATATAAAAGTATGGGGAACTCTAGTATTCCCTTGTTTTAAAACAGTTTGTTTTTGTAATTTAATAAAAGCTGTACTTAACCATTTATAAAGTTCCTGAAAAATTGACACCTAGCTCTCATAAGCTAGCACTTAAGAATTCAGCTCCCTGTGGGTAATCTAGATGCCAAAGAACTTGAGGATTGATTACTCTGAGGATGAGTCTACAGTAGATGTGCTAGGTCAAGAATCATTCTTTTACCGGTTATCGCTCTAGGAATAAATTAATGTTGTCAGAGGATAAAGGAGTAAGAATGAGCAGACCAAGAAGAGATGAAGGGCAAAACCCTGGGTAACACATCACGAGGTAACCAGTGTCACAAGGTTTGGGAATAGCAGGGATCTCCTCTGACAGAAATACTAGTCCAGCAAGAGAGAAGAAAAATTCCAAAGGCATTTTCTGAGAAGCTGGTATTATTATGATCTACTGCTAGCTGGCACAAACATTTGCTGGTAACCAGGCCAAACATATACACTTACTTTAGAACTATAGAAGAAGGCTCTTACAAAGGCATTCAATAGTATCAGTTCGTGGGTTGGATGTCTCCTTTTGTTGGGCTAGAAAAATGAAGTTAGAGAATAGCCCTCATAAATGCTAGTGTCTCAAAGGTCTGAAATGAGCATGAGAAAATGGGTGTGTGAGAAGTGAAGATCTGTAACTGACGTTAATGCCAACCCATCTCTCAGTGTGCTTGTGAAGTTCATAATAGGTGCTCGTGGCTGTGAAGTGCCTCTGGAAGACAGAGAGGACCCTTACTCCTGCCGACTGCTCAACATCACCAATCCAGGTGCGTTCAGGCTGCCATCTGTGTTTGTTGTCAAGTAAAAAGTGCTAATTTTATAGGAGAGAGTATATTTTTAACCAACTAAATATTTGTCATCAAAATTTGTGGTCCAGCCTTTTTGACAGACTGACTATTCACTCAGGGAGTCTCTGTGATTCTTTACAGCAGCTAGAGAATTACTCTAGTTTGCTGAATTTTGAACTTTTGGAAAATTGTCGATTTTACCTGTTAATTCATGATACCATGATACAAATACTGTGAGTTGACTTTGATTTTGAATTATTGCTAAAAACCAGGTGATGTGGCACATGCCTGAATCCTAGCATTGGGGAACCAGAAGTGGGAAGATCACCTCTGCTTAGGAATCAGCCTGAAAAATAAATATATCAGGAACATGCTGTATATACATATATATAAAGAGAACAATTTTAGAAAGTTAAAAACTGCAGACTATTGACCAAGCTTCTGCAAAAGAAACAGGAAAAAGTTCAAAATATTAGAAAAAGTAATTTCTAATATTTCTTAAAATTGAGTTTGTGAGAATCTAGGTGAGGATGCAGAAAGCTGATGCTAAGGAAGTTTCTGTGTGGGCAGGGAGGCTATTACTACTGCTTCATTAGCATTCCTATTGTGTTCAGCTACAATTCTAATGGAGACTTTTCAAATCTCTGTTTTGTGTGCTGGGTCTGGATTCTGGTCTTTCAAAGTTTATCAGATCTTCTTAGTTACATATATCTCACTTTTTGAAATATGATGTGTAGATATGAGCTGCTAATCTGTGGCTCTACAGCTAGCTTTGCCACATTCTAGCTCTGTGTCCTCCTTGTCTATATTTCATTATCTGTAAGCAATGAATAGAGGGTATAATTGCACATGCCTTTAATTGCAGCCCTTGGGAGGCCGAGGCCAGAATATTGCTACAAGATTGAGATCAACCTGCCTACATAATGAGTTCCAGATCATCTACAAAGTGTGATGCTATTCACCCCCCCCCAAAAAAAAAGGGTCTCCCTCATAGAGCTTAGTACAAGGGTGGAGTAAATGATAAAACATGAGCATAGGTCCTGGGACTCCATAGATATTTTGTACTAAAAAGCCCACCTTTTTCATAGGTTGGATTCCAGTCCACTTTTTAAGTAGAGTATATATTCTAGTCTATGTCATAAAGCAGAGGTTTGTAGACAATGTTTTTCCTATACTTGTTTACTACTCGGAGGTTTCATTACCTTTTAGTAGAGAGCCAAAGGATCATAAACTTCATCAAATGTGTTGTTGCTAATGTAGTAGCTTACAGAAATTAAAACAAACAACATACAGAAACATTACACAGGCCTGGAGGTATGGCTCACTGACAGAGTATCTGCCTAGGAGTGTGTAGCTCTGGTCCCATCCCCAACAATTGTTATATGGAACTTAGCATCTTAAGTATTTATTGATAATGCAGCAGATGCCATTAATAGAACACTTCCATCGTTTAATACATAGACAGTTTTAAAACCACACTGTTTAATGTAGATAAATCTTATTTTACCTCCTGAGCATTTGGGTTATTTCTGTTTCTAAAAGTCATGAACAGTAATCCTAGTGCTGCATGTCTAGACGGTTTGGTTGATAGTTGGCTGTCAAAGCCAACAAGACTTTCTGCTCCAGGTAGCTTGAACTTAAGGTACATTTGTTTAAGGTAAAGAAAGTCTAGGAATGACTTGACCTCCTGTTTTTTAATAGACATGCTATTTTGTACTCTGGATGCCTTTTGTCTCCTAAATATATTAAAGAGAAAAACTTGCTGTCATCCAGTCTGGATGCTGACAGTGCTCTCTAGCTCATAGCAAAAGTCTGTCCCTTTTTGCCCCTTCCTGCTCATGTCTATTGTCAAGAAGGAGGCAGTATGTCCTGTTAATCTCCTTCATTGTACTGAAAAATCTGTCTTAAGTATAAGATAGCTTCTAGGGACTAAAGTGGGGGATCTAAATGCCCTATACGTACAAGGTTGGGTCATATTTTAGAGTCTCTGTAGTAACGCAGGGTTGTCTTTCTTAGAGTATCAGTGTACTTGGAAAATTCTGTCAAAGCAGAATTTTGTGTTTTGTTGTGTTCTTTTGAGGAATGGGATCTAGTGGTTTTCAATGAGATCCATAGTGCCAGGAATCAACCCCAGGACCTTGTGTGTCCTGGGCATGTGCAGCTACACCACTGAATTGGATTCACAGCTCTGATATGAATGTTTAACCTGGCCACAGTCTGTGTATTTACTTTATAAGTAAATGTGTATGCATATATTTGTTTAACCGGTTGGATTGTGAACTAGAGAACTTTGCCTTTAAAGTAGGTTTTAGGGGTTGGGGATTTAGCTCAGTGGTAGAGTGCTAGGCCCTGGCTTTGCTCCTTAGCTCCAGGGGGGAAAAAGTAGGTTTTATATTTCTCAAACTAGTTTTGATAAATGAGCCATATTGCTTATCATCTAATCTGTGGTTCATTTATAGTAATTATAAAAGTTGCTTGAAAAGAACTATTGGCTGGAAATACAGCTCTCTGGTAGAGTGAAGCCCAGGTTCAGTTCCTAGCACAGGAGAAAAGAACAGTTCGAAGAACCAATGAGCCACTAAAAAGAGACTGACTTGTGAGTCACTAAACCTGGGTCTGATTCCTGAGTCTGTCACTTTTTGTGACTTGGAGATGATTACTTAAGTGTCCCTTAGGGTTACAGTGTCTTAACTAGGAAGTGACATGATGTTCCTCCCACAGAGGGAGGTGGTAATGTAAGATGTGATGGGCAGTGATACAGTGGGTGCTCAGAATCTGTTTGATTTACTTGTCTGCAGGAAATATTCTACAGCAAGTTTCTCAGTGTTTGCAGTGATTTCGGTTCCTTCTGTATTGCAGTGGTTTCCTTACATACCGTAAACTTTTAAATTGCTTAATAAGAGGTAGCATTTTTAGATTTTTTGTAGAGCAAGATCAAATTCCCTATTCATTTTTACTATATTAAGTACTGTTTTTATTATGTTCACTGAGTCCTTCCATGTAGGTGCCTGCAGTTGACTTATATTTAGTATTCACCTATGGGATGTGTGTGTGTTAGCACAGTGTGTGTGTGCAGAAGTCTGGATTTTATTTACTCGATGATATAAAACCCTATTCTCATTGTTTGTTTAGTTTTGAATCAGGAAATTGAGGCCTTCAGCTTTCCTGAAGATGCCTCCTCATCCAGACTCTCTGAAGACCGAGTTGTCAGCGTGAGCTTCCGTGTTCTCTACCCAATCGTGATTACCAGTCTTGGAGTGTTTTATGATGCCAGTGATGTTGGCTTTCAAAGGAACATCACAGTCAAGTTGTATCAGGCAGAGCAGGAGGTGTGTATTAACATGTACAGGATTTTTCTTTTCTTTATTTGTTTGTTTGTTTGCTTGTTTAGGTTTTTCTAGACAGGGTTTCTCTATCAGCCTGGCTGTCCTGGAACTCCCAGAGATCCATCTGCCTCTGCTTCCCAAATGCTGGGATTAAAGGTGTGCACTACCACCCAGCTGTGCCACTACCGACCGGCTAGGATTTTTCTCATTTTTCTTTTTTAGAACAACTTTTCCTTGTGACCCCAAGTAGACTGAAAGGCTGACCATTCTCCATGCTTGGGTGACTTCCATCTCCCAAGTAGATTGAAAGACTGATCATTCTCCATGCTTGGGTGACTTCCGTCTTCTGGTATTGGTTGAAGTTAAATATGTTGCACTGTAATGCTGGTTTGGAGAGAGATTACCATAGATAAATGAGTTATATGTACAAAAAAAAAAAAAAAAAAAAAAAAGAGTTGGACTAGATTAGAAATTCCCAACCTAAATCACCCATAGCTTCATTAACAAAAGTGTCACAAACATGAGCTGGAGAAAAGATAACCCTTTGAAAAACAGTGCTGGCACATTGTATGGCCACCTGCCAAAGAATAAAATTAGACCCATATCTTTTACCTTGCCCCCCCCAAAAAAAAAATCAGTTCAAACTGGATCAGAAACCTTAATTTAAAATTGTAGAGTGCTCTGGGAAAACATTTCAGGACATAAATACATCAGGACATTTGTTACATAAGCAACACATTTCTGAATAGAACCCTGATAGTGTAAGAACAGAGTTGACAAATTAGACTACATGAAACTAAAAGTCCTTAACAACAAAAGAAATTGCCTCTCAACCAAAGAATGGATAAAGAATATGTGGTATAGTTATATAGTGGAATACTACTCAGTGGTAAAAAAAAAAAAAAATAATGACATCTTTAAATTTGTAGGCAAATGGACAAAACTAGAAAAAGCTATCCTGAGTGATGTAACCCAGACCCAGAAAGACAAATATAATATGTACTCACTCATAAGTGGATATTAAACATGAAATAAAAGATAACCAGCCTACAGGTCACAACCTAGAGAATCTAGAGGACCCTAAGAGAGACATACCTGGATCCACCAAAGAAAGGGAAAAAGACAAGATCTGAGTAAATTGGGAGCTGGTGGGTGAAAGGGGAGAGGGGAGGAGAAAAGGGGAGTGGGAAAAAATGGATACCTTAATAAACTGTAAAAGAATACTTTACCAACAGAATGAGCATATTACAAAATGGAAGAAAAGTCTTTGCGAGCTATACTTCAGATTAATATTTGAATATAAAGAACTAGGAAAATGAAACATTAAAATAACCTACTGGTCAAAAAAAAGGCCAGTTTTTTGAACAGTTCCCAAAAGAAAAAAAAGGGGGGGCCAATTTTTAAGTGTTCAACATCTCTGGCCATCAGAGAAGTACAAATCCCATCTGACCCTATTTAGAATGATCAGTGTGAAGAATAACAAGAAATGCTGGTGTGGATATGATGGAAGGGGAGCTGCCATCCATTGTTAAGACAGCCACTTTGGAAAGGAGCATGACCATATGTGACCCAGCTGTGCCACTCCTGTACATACTCACAGGACACTACAAACTACTGCAGAGAAATATTCTCACATCCATGTTTATCACTGCTGTTTTTACACAGCAAGGAACAAAAGAGTGGATAATGAAAATGGGGCACATATGTACAATAGAATTTTACTCAGTCATAAAGAGAAGTGAAATTTGCAGGAAAATGGGCAGAATGGAACTAGGGAATGCTATGTTAAGTGAGGACACTAAAACTTGAAAGACAAATACCACCATATGTTCTCTTTCATAAAAATGTCGATCCTGTTAAATATCTGGGTCAAGTTGGAAGTAAACATGGCTGAAGGCCAGGACCCTAGAAGGCAATTCATGAGACTTTCTGGGGGTGGGGGGAGAGACAATGGAAAAAGTTGAAATAGAGTAATGGGATGTAGCAAGTCTTTCTCTGTCCTACCTGCCAGATATAACCACACAGAGACTTCTTATTAACTATTAAAGCTTGGTCAATAGCTGAGGCTTGTTTCTAACTAGCTCTTATAACTTAACCCATATCTTGTAATCTACATTCTTTTATGTGGCTCAACTACCTTTACTTTGTAATAACCATACTGCTTGCTCTGTGTCTCTCATGTCCTCTCTACCCCCAAAATCCTGCCTAGCTATTGGCTATTTATCTTTATTAAACCAGTCGTAGTCACATATCTTCACACAGTGTAAAGGAATATTCCACAATAGGAGAGCAAAATGCTACTGTGGGTGTGGGAGCAGGGAGATAAGAGGATAAATAATATACTAAAATGAAATATGTATGAAAACATCATATGGAAACCAATTAATTTGTTAACTGACAGTTTTTTAAAGCTTCTTTCTGCTTACTCTAAGCCCTTGTGGATTACTGTCTTGGTAGTATTGTCTTTTCTGTTGATGTAGGCTTTCCTTGTATGCCTAGCAACTAGATACTGTGAATGATCTATTGTAGGACCTCTCATTACATCCCATTTCGGTTTTTCTTTTTTTGCAGTAGCAAGCAATTACATTTGCTAGAGGAGATTCTAAACTGTTCCTTGCAGTGGACAACAGTTGAAACCCTACTTGGCTCTTTCTGCTCTTTAGTTGGGCTGCCTGGGTTCTGCTTCAGATGTGTGTTTCATGAGTCAGCCTCAGATTAGGGCAGTTTATATGGAGAAACTAAAGCTCACTCTTCCTCTTCCTCTCCTTCCTTTCCCTCCCCCTCCTCCACCTCTGCGTATATGCGAATTTTCCTTGTAGCTGATGCTTTTATCCCACCTGTGTCCTCTGACTTTTTTTTTTTAAAGTTGGTATAGAGCTGTGCCTTCAACAAAGGGGACTAAGGGGAAGATGGAATAGGCCCACTTTCTCCTTTTCCACAGTTTGAGTCTCTTCCAGGTTTTGCATGTACTTGAATTATAGTTTCTTTCAGATCTTTTGTTGTTGTTCCTTACTGGTCTGTTTTTGTTTTTTGAGATGGGACAGCCCAGGCTGTCCTTAAACTTGAAATCCTCCTGTCTTAGCCTCCTGAGTGTTGGCTTGCAGATGGGTGTCATCATCTGTGGCTAAGATTTTTTTATGTTTTTTCAGAGTTCAACATTGTTTCCTATACATAGCAATTGGTCTGCTATTACTAGAAACCTTTTTTTGTTTGTTTGTTTTTTGTTTTTGTCGACTGTTGGTTGGTTTAAGTTTCATTGAAGTCAGACAAGGTCAGACACAGAACTGTAATGCCAGTGTTCAGGAATCTGAGGAAGGAGGATTTCTACACACTCAAGGCCAGTCTAGACATTAAAGCTATTTCCAAACCAGCCAGGACTAGACCCTTTTTCTCTTTCTTTCTATACCCACTGAGTCCAGTTAGTGCTGCTTATATGACCATGGGCTCAGGGTCATCCACTGGGAGGCCCTGGGGATCCTACCAGTGGTCATATTTCAAAGGAAAGTGAGTTTCCCTCATGGCCACAATTAAGGACCTCAGCAGCTCCTCCCTCACCTGTGATAGAATATTTTTTAAATTTTTTTATGTGTATGAGTGTTCTGCATAATATATACCTGCAGGCCACAAGAGAGCATCAGATCCTATTATAGATGGTTGTGAGCTACCATATGGTTGCTGAGAACTGAACTCAGGACTTGAAGAGCAGCCATTGCTATTAACTGCTGAGCCATCTCTTCAGCCCTAATTTTAATTATTTTTTTAAGACAAAAATTGGCTAAAAATTTCAACAACTTTCAGGTTTTTCTTTTTTTTTTTTTTAAATCTATTTTATGTTTATGAGTGTTTTACCTACATGTATGTCTGTGCACCACGTTTATGCCTCATGCACACAGAATACAGAAGAGGGCATCAGATTCCCTGAAACTGAAGTTATAGACAGACAGTTGTGAGCCATCATGTGGGGTGTTGGGAACCAACTTCAGATCCTCTGCAAGAGTAGCAAGTACTTTTAACCACTAAGTCATCTCTCCAATATCATCAAAGTTTTCTAGTGCTATTGCCATGGTAATTAAATTATTATATTATTTGTTTTACAGCTCTAGGGATTCAAGTAGTGAGCATGATTGGTGGCTTTGTGGGTTTACTGACAAAGCTACACAATGTCTGAGGATCTGTTGAGTATACAGAATATAACAGGAAATATTGTCTTTGTTTTTCCATCCCTCCCTACCCATCTTGCAGGAGGCCCTTTTCATTGCTCGATTCAGTCCTCCGAGCTGTGGCATACAGGTGAACAAGCTATGGTACAAGCCTGTGGAACAGTTCATCTTACCAGAGGTATGGCTATAGTGAAGACCAGTGTGGCTTTTGTAGGCCTCACATCAGCTCTACAGTGTGGAACTTGCGGCACTACAAAGCCTGCACTAAAATTTGCAGTTACACCAGCAGAACTTCATAGCCATATTCTTCTAAAAGTGCCTGTTGCCATGGTTAACTTGAAGTTGAGAACAGTGTGACTGTCTTAGTGACAAAGGTAGTATTAGGTCTTAATAGAGAGCAGATCTTTTGGAAGTTCAATGTTTTACTCATCTAAAGAATTTTTTTAAATTCTTCTAGGATATTTTGAGTGTATTCTGATATCCCCAAGACTGCCAATAAAGTTTACCTTGAATCAGAGAGATGAGCTAGCTACTAGCTGACCAAAATTAGCCTTAGAGGTTTTGGAGGACCCAGGAGAAGCACAGGAAGTAATAGTTAAGGGCTTTGGAAGAGTCTGGCCTTTTGGGTCTAGGAAGGAGAGAGACAGGAGGTAACTGGTCACTTAACTGCTATTTCTTTTAGTTAAGGTAAATTTTATTAGCAATCTTGATAGTGTCAGAGTGCAATCAAAATATCCCAAAGTATTGCCAGGTATAATGAGGTACACTTTTAATCCCAGCACTCTTGGAGGTAAAAGCAGGCAGATCTCTGTGAGTTTGAGGCCAGCCTGGTGTACACAATGAGTTCCAGGACAGCCAGAGGTACATAGTACCAAAAATTAAAAACAAGTTAAGTAAAAGTTTAATAACAATGAAAACTTGTGGACGATGTCTGAAAACAGGTCTGTCATCTCTGGGCTGCCTTAGGACAATCTTACATGCTGGAGGCCATTTTGCCTATCAGGTGCCCTCATGTGTCCTGAGAGTTTCCCCGGGTAGTCAAGGACTGTCACAGAGGCAGGTATGAGCAGTGCCCATCCACCAGCTTCAGCCTATTCATGAGTCCACTTCTGAACGAAACCATGGTTGAGGTCAAGAGTGTTGGACAGTTGTGTAGTTCATTGAAAACTGAGTTTGTCTGCAATATTAAAACTTGAGTTAAGATGTGAAAGCTAGACCATTGACAGTTTCCCCTTTAAGTGCTAGTCATGGTGGTGTTCCAATTAAGGGAAAATGCAGAGACACATATTTTTATAGTATGTTTTATACTTTTTGAATCCAGTACAAGTAGTTGAAACATTTGCGTCCTGGTTAGTTTTATGTCAATCTGACACAAGCTAGAGCCATCAAAGAAGAGGGAGCCTCAATTGAGAAATGCCTCTATAAGGTTGGGCTGCAGGCAAGCCTGTGTGGCATTTTCTTTATTGATGGGGGAGCACTCAACTCATTGGGGGTGCCACCCCTGGGCTGGTGGTCTTGGCTTGTATAAGAAAGCAGGCTGAACAAATCATATAGAGCAAGCCAATAAGACGCTCCCCTCCATGGCCTCTGCATCAGCACCCGCCTCCAGTTTCCTGCTCTTTGTGAGATCCTATCCTGATTTCCTTTGATGATGAACAGCAATATAGAATTGTAAGACAGTTAAACCCACTCCTCCCCAACTTGCTTTGGTCATGGTATTGCATCATAGCAGTAGTAACCCCAACTAAGAGAATATGTTAATTCTATATCATAGGAATCTAGTAAGAGATACTTGTCTTTTCTATGGCAGTGTCTCCCTTGAAGTAGAGATGCTGCACTAGCTGGTCCTGAGATCTTTTTAGGGAATGACTGATTTTACATCTACACTTAAAATGTGCTCCCACATGGCAAGCAATCTATAGATTACTGCACCATCATTTCTATATACTGCTTAAGTTCCCCATGAGTTATCCACTTGCTCACCAGAGGATACTTAGCAATGCCTGGAACTCTGGTTTATAGCATTGGGGTGTGGGTATTCAAAATGTCCAGGGTTTGAGCTTGAGAAGCTTCTTGAGGGGAGGAGTCTCTGGGAGTAAGGTCAAAAGGAGGAAAGCAAGTTTTAATGCTGCGGCTCATCACAGGTCTCTAGAGTCTGTCCCCTACTTTTGATCACCCTTATAGAAAGAAGCTTTTTTTCTTGGTCTGTAAAACACATCCTTTCCTCAGAATGCCATTGCTCTTGAGAAGTGCTATGTCACTGCATCTGCATTTCTCTTTAGAATACAGACAGCAAGGAAGTGCATGGAGAGGACATAGCTGTTGAAGTGTGAACTGCTAGGGAGACCAGGCATTCAGATAGTGATTCTAGCTTCTTTGTAGGTTTATAGTTTTTCAGAATAAAAATTTAGTTCAGGGATAGGGGTGCCAATGGTTAGAGGATCTTTGATGATTTATTGTTTTTGTCAAAGAATAATCGAAAAAAATGTAACAAGCCCTGTCTGCGCCAGCAAAAGCAAAAGAACACTACTTAGTCTGGCTTACATTTTACAATGAAAAAAATACTTTATTACTACTTTAATAATTTATTCAATTTACTTTGATCATATTCACCCCTCCCACAAACTCCTCCATGAATGCACCCTCACCTTATCACCCAAATTCAAGTCTCTCTCTCTCTCTCTCTTTTTTTTTTTTTTTTTTTTTTTTTCATTTTCTAGATAAGCCATAAGGTCTAGTTTGTGCAGCCCATATACTTGAGTGTGGGGTCATCCACTGGCACATATTCAACCTACCAACCAGTGACTTAACCCTTAAAGAAAACACTGATTCTCCCTCACACAAAAGCAATCAATTGTCTGTACCTGAAGTTGTTTGGTTGCTTTTGTTGTTTTGATACAGGGTCTCCCTGTATAGTCTTGGCTACCCAGGAACCCACTGTGTAGGCTGGTTGACATCCCTTGGGTGTTCTGTCTGCCTCTGCAGGCATGTGCCACCATGCATGGCCTGAAAGAAGGTATTAATGTTGTCATTCCTAAGAACCTTACTTCCGGTAAATAAGGGTCAGGATAAACAAATAGGCCGAATAGATGTTTATTCAGGGAGAAATAACTTACAACCTAGACAGATGAACACCAGGAAATTCACCCCGATCCTCTCCTGTCCGAGTCACGCCAGAAAGAGAGCCTTCCTGGCCCCCTCCGACCCCCCCCCCCCAATGGGCGTGGTCAGTGCTACAGAAGGACTACCTCACTACAAACCTTACTTCCTTTTTAGCTTTAAGGTAAATATGGTAGGTATTTCGTTGCTTTTGAAAAATATGAGAAAAGTAAAACTTTATTGGTGACTATGTGGGAGAATATGGGATTTTTATACACACACACACATATACACACACACACACACACATACATGCACATATATACATGTTTATAGTTTTGTTTTTCAAGATAGGGGTGTAGCCCTGGCTGTCCTGGAACTTGATCTGTAGACCAGGATGGCCTAGAACTCAGAGATCTTTGCCTGTCTTACATATTTTCTAAAAGTCTATAATAAATGCATATTAGCTTTATAAAAAGAAAATGATAAACCTTTAGAAATCTAGAAATTAAGTTTCTACCATATGTAGCTTTTACTTTGTTGAAATGTGTCTGGTGTTACATGGATTTTTTTCCCCCTATATCAAACCTAAGTGAGAGTCACCCTTGTGGTAATCCATCTGTGAGGAATAGATGATATCACCTCATTACTGTCACACTATCTGGAGTATCACATCAGTATGGCTTGTCACACTGTGTTCTTTTGTAAAGTGTTCATCCTGTGGCCTGCCCACTGAAGTGTAAACTCCATGAGAGCCACAAGTTTAAGTGAAACTACTATGTGTTTATTATAAAATAGCTGTATTTCTCTAATTGTATATTTTTCTTAATAAATGCAGTTGGAACCTAAAACTGCTTTCAGTAGAAAGCCGACTTGTCATTCAGCTGAATCCCTGGGCACATTACTATAAGCTTGGTGGACACTTACAATTACATTTTTGTGAAAAATGAGTCTGTAGTCATTATTCCAGTCCACAAGAAGTTCCTATTGTTTATATGCTTTAACTACTGTGTTATAATGGATGAGAAATTAGAACTAAAACATAGAAGAATTACCATGTAGAAGGGTTTGTACTAACTTACTATTTTCCCAGACTATAACAATGATTTTTTTCCCCGAGTCATAGTAGTTTTATGAACTTCAAACAGGGTTGCTATAAGTTGTTTTGGGTTGTAAGAGTTTCCTGGTTTTATGAAACCTAAAACAGAAAATTGAAAGGTGTGGGAGAGGAGGTGTGAGATACAACTATCAGCTGTGGCCTAGATCAGGACAGGGAGTGTGCTCGCTGCTGCCTTCCTTATATACAGCTTCAGAGAAAGTCAAGGACTCTTGCACAGTGGATTTCTCTAGTGATGAACCTTGTTGACAATTATGTCATGGCCCACTTATTATGCTAAATGGATTTGGGTGCCAGGAAGAGCTACTGGCAAAGAGCAAGCCAGATACCAAAAGTTATTTGATTGGATTGAATAGAGAATGGTTTCCATACTTTTCTGTTTGTAGGTTCAAGGTATAGTTTTCACAGAGGCCTTTCCTTTTGGTGTGGCTCCATATCTCCTGCTTGACTCTTGACCACCTGCTTTATTTTACTCAGCATACCTAGACCATTTCATCCATTATTGCCCAAACGTCTCTAGTGAACTCCAGATATGCCTGCTGATTCTGGATATTGAAATGGTGTTGTCTTCCAACCATTCTCATTGCCTATACTTTCATTTGTGGGTCTAGGATTTTCTTAAACCACCTAAACCAGAATCAAGGGCTTTGTCCTTTGGTCTTAGACCCAAGTTCTGTCCATTCTAATTCTCAGGTGTTCTCATATCTTTCACATTTTTCTGATGTTAGAGAATTAGAAGAAAGAAAAAAAGACTGTTTTTGTTGGGAGATGGATGTGTGACTGACCCAGGCCATCTCATCCAGCACACAGCAGTGATCAGATTCCCACTGATTGACACTGTGGACCATTGTCAGTTTATCCATCTTTTATGGTAGTGACTCATAAGAGTGACCTGAATGACCCTTACCTCTGACCTGGAATGTCAAGGTGAAATAATAGTACTTAATTTTTGGCAATGAACTTGATCATAGCAATAAAAAATGAGTATTTTGAAGTGATGTTTCATCCAGGAGGGATGTGACTAGGTAGTCTATACCTAAATCTTTCTCCTGTACATATTGCTGCATTGGCAAGATTCTTTGGTGATTGTTTTTTTTTAATGCCATGGTCAGTGACAGATTGTTGGAGGGTGTAAAGGTCACTACTTAAAACTTTACTCTTAATCACTTCTCAGTGATTGGAACATGATTTCCTCATCTATAAAAGAAGAATTATAGTTAACCCACAGGCAGTTCCCTGGGAATCTCTGTGTTGTTCAGTAGTCTCACCAGGACTGCATGGCAGCTAGTTCTTCTCTTCCTACCAGTCTCTGCTACTCTACTGACAACCTCCAATCTTCCCCTGACAGTCTTCCCCACTTCCAAGCAAAGGCCAGGCTTCATAGTACCATGGTGGCAGAGAAGCATCTGGTCTACCTTAGATCTCTCCTCTCTTTAGCCTGGTGCTACAGTCTGTGAAATGTTTATGATTCTGATGGTGTTGTGCTGTTTCTCCCCACTTTTCTGACCCAAACTTTATGCTTTTGTGGTAATTTGAAGTTCTTTCTGCATAATACCTACCCCAATTCTTGCCAAAATGTGTTGTTGTTATTGTTGTTGTTTTGTTTTGTGGCCACATGTTGGTAGCATTTAAAGATAAGGGTTATTCTGTTTAAATTTCTAATATTCAATGTATAGACCATAGCTTGGTAAATATTAAAAAAAAAAACTACCACAATAACTTGAGCTTTTTTTTTCCCCCTAAATTTTATAGTAGCGAGCAAAATGCAGTTGGCATTCTCAAACTTTGCTAATGACCTTATAAATTTATAAAAATGACTATTCAAAAGCAATTTGATAGTTTGTACCAAATAAATACATAGACACACCTTGCTTTTCCCAGTAATTTCTGGGAATTTATTTTAAATGAAGTATTATGGGAAAGAGACATTTATACCAAAATATTCCATTGTTACAGTAGCTATTTGGTCAGCAAGTAAATCAGGTGTCAGCCAAGTGGCATGTTATACCCATGTTAGAAAGGACAGCTCTAAAAGTTGTAGCAACATTAGAAAATTGATACAGCAGGAACTGGCAGGAAGCATCTGTAAACACCATGAACTTTGATGTGTCCAGAAGAAATAATTGAGGACATACACTACCATGCTAATAAAGAAATGTTCAGGTTGTGGCTTAAAATTTTAACTGATGCATTTCAGGGGATGGGGAAATGACATTATTTTCTCTAAAGTTTTACATATTTACTGATAACCTAAATGGCAAGAATAAACAAATTGATCCTCTGTCATTATTCCCCCAAAGAGCTTTGAAGGTACAATCGTGTGGGAAAGCCAAGATCTCCATGGCCTCGTGTCCAGAAACCTACACAGACTGACAGTGAATGATGGAGGGGGTGTTCTCAGAGTCATTACAGTAAGCTGTCCTTTCTTTGTTTGGGTTGGTTAGAAACATTAACTGTCTTATGTACATAAAAACTGTAGAATTCGTTTTTATCCCAGGCAGTGTCGGACAGTGGTTTTGAATATACATAGTAGAAAGTGTTGCTTAATCACTTCACTGTAGTGAGGATGAGCAGCTGCATGGTGTTGTAACTCCAATATTAATGGTAATGTAATTTTGCCTTAAGATTGGTACATTTTAAAGTATGGTATTGTATTTCTTAACAATTTTTTTTATTGAGATTTTTGGAAACATTTGTTCATAGCTGAGTGTAGTAGTTTATACTGTGTTCTCAGCACTCAGGACACTGAAATAGCAGGATTGTTCTAAACTTGAGATCAGCTAGCTATAGAATAAGAAGGGAAGAAAAGAAACACTTCTCCCATAGGTGGCTATCTTACCTTGATAGCAAAATGGTTAAAAATACCAAAATATAGAGCTGAGCACAATGTCCTGTGCCTGGAGTCCCAGAGCTCCTTGTCAAGCAAAAGCTGGAAGATTGCTTTAGCAATCAGGGTCTGCCTGGGCAGCATAGCATCATGCTGTCTTTAAAAAGAGAAAGCAAGAGAATACTTGCTTTTGTTTTATTTTGAAGCAACCTCTGGAATTTCTCACTATATTTCTCATTTAGTCAAATTATCCTCAGATTTAAAGCAAATCTAAGTTAGGTAAATTTCTCAAACATAGCATAACAAAGGTATAGACAGACTTAATAAGCAAGTTGTGTTGTGGTGGTGTTACTAACAACTTCCCAATCCCCCTTGGTACTTGGTCCAATGAACAGGAAGACACTTGACATTTAAATGCAGAAGTTCAATAATCTCTTGAATGTTAGCCCTGCTTACATGAAATAATTCCTGGTTTTAAAATGAGTGTCATGTGATTTGTTACATATTCAGAAAGCATTTCTTGTATACCCACTGAAAGGCAGACACGTTATTCCATCACATCTAAAGTCAGGGAGAAAGTGACAGGCAGTATGCTGAGCCTGATAGTCTCAATTCAATAGACACACTCACAAATAAGTAAATGTAATTTTAAAGTGTTTAAAAGAAAAGGAAATATGTTAAATAAATGGACCCACAAAGTCACATGTAATTATACCCTCAGCCTTGTAGGCCATGTACAGTATATTATCCATTATTTAAGATAGACAACTTTATGGGAGGAATCATAATTTTTTCTTTTATTATTTTCAGGACAAGTGCCTTTAATATATTACCACTTAACTATTTGTGAAACTTAAAGATACCTAGCATATGCCAAAATTCTATAGTCTTTGATTTGTTATCCTAAGGAAATAAGTTTCCTTCTGAGTTGAAGATTTAGTTAAAATCTAAAGACAAATGATCTGCTTTGGTTGGAGGAAAACTAGCTGTGGAGGGTGAGAGACAGCTTATTCAGCCAACCGAAGAGGAAAGGGGGATGTGGCAAGCCCCTTAGTGGAAGAGATTTCATCAAGTCTGCTGCATGGATGAGTTAGCAGGCCTGCCTCTAAGTGCATGCTTTAGTGCCTGCCATGAACTGTCCTCAGTGATGGACGTGACCTCAAAGGATAAGCCAATACACACTTTCCTCTTAGAAGTTGCTTTTGGTTGGAATGTTTATCACAACAACAGAATCAAACAAGAGCACAATGAATATTAGAATATTAGTTACATTCTAAACAAATCAAAATAAAGTACTGCAGTTTAAACAAAAAAGTATGCCACAATTACAGAGTTTAAATCAGCTACAAACTGTATTTTAAATTGAAAACATGTTATCCACAGTGACCTCAGAATACTCTTTAGTGTCCTTAAAGTGGTGCTGTGTACAGTCCTTCTTTACTGAGATCTGCTTAAAGAGACAGTATTCTTTCTGACAAGAGGAGTGCAGTGGAAGTACTGAGGACTGATTGCTTTTGGCAGTTAGCTTCAGGCCTCACAGCTAGGGGAGAGTTCTGGAAGGCAGACATGTTGGAGTACAACATACTGATGAAAAGCGCCTCTAACCTTAAGAGGCAGAATTGTTGTTGACAGTTAAGTTCTAGGTCTTCCAAAGCAGTAGGAACTTAGTCTCCATCTGATTTTGTTGGGAACAGATGATGTTTTTTGTTTGTTTGCCTGGTTTCTGATACAGGGTTTCTATGTGTACCCTAGCTATCCTGGAACTCCTATAGATCAGGTTGGCTTTGAACTCATATCCACTTGTCTCTGCCTCTCAAGTGCTGGGATTAAAGGCATACACTACCTTGCCCAGCTGGGAACAGATGGAGATTTAAAGAGGTTTTTCTCTGCATGGTCCTAAGATGCACTAAGAGCTTGCCAAATTCATGAGGATTTTTGTGAGGAAAAAAAGTGCTAATTCTTTAATGTTTTTAAAGTGATAAAGTTAGATGTAACTGAGTTTTATACTATTGTGGTTATAACTATAGGAACATTTACTTATGTCTAAGTTGGAATTTTGAGCACTGAGACAGAATCATCTTGATGCTTTAAATCCATGGCATAAGGGCTAGAAAGGTGACTTAGTGGTTAAGAGTGCTGGCTGCTTATCTTCATTATTTTTCTTTTTGCTGTGATAAGGCAAGACCAAGGCATCTTATAAAAGAAAGGCTCATGGTTCCAAGTGGTCAGAGTTCATGACCACTATGGTGTGGAGCCTAGCAGAGGGCAGGCAGGCTGGCTTGGTATTGAAACAGTAGTTTGGAGCTTGCATCTTGATCTATAAGCTAGGGGCAAAGAGCTAACTGGAAATGGCTTTTTGAAACTTCAAAGCCCACCACAGTATTACATCTCCTCCTCCAGCAAGTCCACACCTCCTAACCCTTTACAAACAGTCCCACCAACTGGGAACCAAATATTCAAATATGTGAGTCCATAGCAGGGGGGCATTCTTAACTCAATCTACCACACTACTCCAGGGACCTGCACTGGCTTCCCAGCACCCACATAGTGGTTCTGGCCTTATGGTCTAATGCTCTCTCTGACCTCCAATAGCATTCAGGTTCAGGTGTTGAACAGACATACATGCATACAAAATATCTATGCACATAAAGTAAAAATAAACAAAGTAGGCCAGATGGTAATGGAACATACCATTACCATAGCACTCAGGAAGCAGAGGCAGGCATATCTCTGTGAGTTTGAGGACAGCCAAACATAGACAAAACAATTGTCTTGGACATCCCCCCCCCCCAAAAAAAAAAAAAAAAAAAAAAGAAAGTAAAAAGAATGAATAAAAATCCATGGCTTCAGTACCTTCTGTAGGGCAGACACCTTGGGTATCTGCTGATTCAGCTCTGCATTGTAATACATTCACTGTTAGTCCTGAAATGCCTGAGTATTTCTGTTCTCATCCCTTTCAGGCTGGGGAAGGGACACTGCCTCATGAATTCATGGAAGGCGTGGAGGGAGTTGCAGGTGGCTTTATCTACACTGTTCAGGGTAAGTTGACTAATGCAAAAGCAAACTCGGTGTAACTAACCTTGTTTTATAATATGCTGCAAAAGGTCATCTTTTCAAGTTAAAAGTTCCCTATTGAGCTGGGTACAAAGCTATATGCCTGATATGCTGACACTTATGAGACTGTAGGAAAACTGTGACTTCAAAGCCATCTTGGGCTATGTTGCAACACCCTGTCTCCAAAACAAAGCCCCAAAGCTTACTTTTTAAGGTACTGCATCCTGTTATTCAAGTAAAGCATAGCTAGACTCTTTCTGTTGGTTCCAGTTTTGTTGTTTCCCAGCATAGCTAACAGTGCTGCAGAGAACATTGTGGTGCCCACGTAAGATAATATCTCTAATGTCCTATCACAAGTAGACTTCACTGAGCTATATAACTCTGTACCACCTGAAGATCCTAATGAATGTGTGCTCCACAGCAGTGTTTTTTCTCTAGCAGTCAGCTTTTCCTTTTTAGAAGGAGATGCACTGTTACAAAGCCTTCATTCGAGGCCCCAGAGACTTTCAGACCACATACGGGATCTGCGAGTGGAAGATGCCTTACTGCAGGAGGAGAGCAGCGTCTTTGATGACATTGTCTTTGTAGATGTTGTGGACACTTACCGGAATGTTCCTTCAAAATTACTGAACTTCTATAGATGGTAGGTTGTGCAGATGTTGGGCAGCTAAAAGTTGCTTTGTTGTTGTTTTGATGTAGAAACATTAAACCATTGAGATTTCAAAATTCAAAAGACTAGTCATCTGGGGTGTATGACCTAATATATCACAGATCCTTTAAAAACAGTATCTTTTTAATTTTAAGGTTTTTAAAAAATTACTTGTGTGTGTGTGTGTGTCTATATGTCTGCTTTGTGAATGTGTGTACCTTTGGAGGCCAGAAGGTATCTCTGGAACTTAGTTTATTAGTACCCTATGTGGGTACCAGGAACCAAATGGGTGGGTCTTCTGGAAGAGCAATACTTAGTCCTGACTTCTGAACCAACTCTTCAGCACCTCCTAGATCCTTTTAAAGACATCTAATGTGCTGTGCTTTCTTATTTGGATGATCAGATAGATCCACAGTGTGAATGGCATTAAGTGGTCAAAACCAACAAAACAAAAATTAATTCCTTTGGAGTCATTCCTACACACTGTGTCTCACCTAGCATTGGGTGAAATTAGTGAGTGTGGAAATGGTCCTTTTTTAGTTTTGTTCTTACGTATCCACTCCAATTCCAATTCCAGTCACACTAAGGTACTAATCTGAATTCTGCTCAACTAAATATCCACCTTTAAATATCCAGTCTCTATTCCATCAACTTCCAAACTCCTTGCATTGGGATAGATGCAGTGGTACATGAATTTTGTCCCAGCTGCACAATGGCTGAGATAGAAGTCTCCTTTGAGTCTGTGTAGAAGTTTAAGGCCAGCTTTCACAACATAGCAAGGTTCTGAAAACCAACAAATACTCCTGGTTTACAAACTTTTGTAGATACTTAATGAAATTAGTTCTCCTAACTTGTAGACTTCCAGTGATTTTTTTTTTTTTTAGATCTTGGTTGTGTTCTACATTTGTGATAGTTTGTTTTTAACATGCAAAGTTGGTGGTGTTACTTGTGGCTGTGCTGACTTGCTTCAGTGTACCTTGCTCTCACAGGACTGAGGTTCTAACTCCCTGTCTGTCTCGCTCGTGCCTGACCTGGGAGTTTATAACTTGGGAGTTTGCCTTATCTTTTGAATCCTTGTCAAAGGCTTATTTCTTGGAAAGGCCTACCAGATCTCTTTCTGCACTTCCTTCTCAGGTGGGAAGTTCACAAGGGCACTGTGGATATGTTTTGTTAGAGTCATGATCTATAGACTGGGGCTAATTATTGTTGTCATTTTGGAATCATCTGTGGGTGGAATACCAGGATTGCATTTAGACAGCAATGTATTAGGAGCCTGTCACAGATGGGTGGTGGTGGTGCACCTTTAATCCCAGCACTTAGGAGGCAAAGGCAGATGGATCTTTTGAGTTTGAGGCCAGCCTGGTTTATTATCAAGTTCCAGAGCTACACAGAGAAACCCTGCTAGCAAACCAAAAAAAAAAAAAAGAGCCTGTCCCTCAGAGTTCCAAGTATAGATGAGGCCAGCATGAGGAGCTCCAGGAGGGAAGTCAGGACTTAGATGGGATAGGGCCAGTAGACTTTCTAGCATCCTTTTGTTCTCCCTCCCCTGTTCCTTAACATACTTCTCCCATTGTTTTCTGCTTCTCTCCCTCACTTCCTCACCTCATCAAGGCTGTTTTCAGGTCTGCCTCCTCATAGCCCACATCATCCTTCACCCTCTGCTTTTCAGCATGCTTTGTGTGGAGGGAGGGAAATATTAGGGATAGAAGGGAGGACATTGTTTTTCTAGTAGGAGATAACTAATTGTACCTCCCACATTTTAAATCAGTGCTTAATTATTTGGCTTTATTTCCTGAGTAGAATCACCAATGATCTAAATGTCTTTATAACAAACGCTTATTTTTGATTGGCAAATACTGTATGTCTGTTATACTGTTAAAAGTAGCTTAAAAGGCTAATCTAAGCTTGGTGGATGGGACCTTTAGTCCCATCATTTCAGAGGCAGAGGCAGATGCAGGTGGATTTTGTGAGTTAGCGGCCAACTTGGACAACATAGTAAGTTCTGGCTGGTCCTTTGACAAGACTATACTTAAGAACAGATGTGCATATCTAACACTAATGCACAAACTGACTTAGTGGAGCCCATTTTATATGGAGTGATACCTTGCTCAGCCTAGACACGGGTGTGTGGGGTGGATGATGGGCCACTTAGTAGACTTCCTAGGGGAAACTTTACCCTCTCTGAGGAACAGGTGGGGTGTATATGTGTGGGAAGAGTAAAGAGAAGGGGAACTGGGATTGGAAGATTTGAAAAAAAAAGAAAAAGAAAGAAAGAAAAGAATAGATGTACAGGGACTGACATTGAGGTAGGGAACTGGTTTTGCCCTGTTTGAGGCCATGCATTTTTGGTGTCTAGAGAAATGAAGTAAATCACCCTCCTGTTCTTCCAGAGATTGTTTATTATAATTTAAATGCTGGAAATTGGTTCCAAAGAAAAATATGTTTGCATGATATAAGTCATGTTTTAACCCATAATGTATCTATTTAAAGAAAAAAAAAATGTTTGAGACAGTCTTACTCAGTATCTCTTGGCTGGCCCAGAACTCCACCTCTCTGCTTCCCACCACACCTGGCCCGTTTCATAACACACCTTATTCTATGGTGTTCTAAGTGAGAGCTTCAGGTCTGATACCTTGATCCAGGACTTTAGAACTAGGCACACATGGGGCAGGGTACAGATGACAGGGAGGTCTGGCAGCTGTCATAGAGAGTAACTGGGAAGCACTTGTTAGAATGGATATTCTACTTCAGTCACTTTCTTCTCTGTCATGCCAGTTGGCCAGGTGAGGACCAACCACAGTTGATGGCTACAGTGATAGTATTCTCTGGATGCAGGACAAGACACTGAAGGTGCACAGCTATAATGCCTAGGGTTGTGCTTACTTGCGTTTCCCTTTTTCTGTCATCAGGACTGTGGAAACCACCAGCTTCAATTTGCTGCTGAAGACAGATGATGACTGTTATATAGACTTAGAAGCTGTGTTTAATAGAATTGCTCAGAAGAATCTAGATGGGCCTAACTTCTGGTGGGGAAAGTAAGTGAAACATGGACAGCCATTGGTTTTCAGTGTACCTAAGTGTAATTAATTTAGAATGAAATATGCAAGTTATTTTTCCACAAGGAAAATGTTGTGAGCTTTTAAAAATTTTTTTATTAATTATTTTTTATTTTACATATCTATCCCAGTTCCCTCTCCCTCCCTCCCATACTCTCTGACCCCCTTTTCCCATACCACCCCTCCCCAACTCCACAGGGAGAGTGATGCCTTCCAGGAAAATCTGTGAAGTCATTTGGAGTAGAGACTAGGCCCTCCCTCCTGCCTCAAGGTTAAGGGAGTATCCCTTCATGGGGAATGTTCTCCCAAAGTCCTTTCCTGCACCAGGGACACATCCTGGGTCCAGTGAGCTTTCTTATTAAACTATTTTGTATTAGTTTGCTGTCACTATAATCAGAAGTAATTTGGGGGAGGGGTGTCATTCTATTGAAAAATCTCAGGCTTATTAGCCAAGAGTCAAAGATGTGGTTTTAGAAGTGCATGGTCCTCAGAAGCTGTTGTATGGTTTTGTTAGAGTTATATATGACATATCCCCATAGCCATTGTCTTTGCTACTTCAGCAACATTGCAGGATTATTGGTTTGGTGGGCTTGGTTTCATTTGAATATGTACTGAAACACAGAGTGAGCTTCTCTTAGCTTCCATTAAACTGAGAGCTTACCTAATTAATCTATACAAAGTACCATTGGGTAAATAATTCCTTTCCTTAGATGCAAGAATTTTTCCCTGCTCTACAAGCTCATCCCTTCATAATAATCAAAAGAATGTAGTAGATGGATGTGGCCAGCCATCACCTTTGTAACATCTCAGTTTCAGGTTGAATTGGGCAGTGGACAGAACTGGAAAGTGGCAGGAGCTAGAATACCCCAGCCCAGCCTACCCTGCCTTTGCATGTGGGTCAGGGTATGTGATCTCCAATGATATTGTTGACTGGCTGGCAAGCAACTCTGGAAGGTTGAAGACCTATCAGGTAACAAGATTACTCATCCAGTCCACTGTCCTGAGATGTCCCTGAAGGAGAGCCAGCTCCCTGTGGTTTTCCTTTCTCTGTAGGAATCACTCTCTAAAGGTTAGGAATGTGTTCCTGCCACCTCTCAAACTCTAACCATGATGTCTGTTCATATTTGAGCCTGTTTATACTGCTTTTAGTCTTTGATTGTAAAGTGTATTCTCTGGAGGAATATAAACATTTTTTGCTGTAAGAAGGACGATAAAGAAGAGCTTTCTTCCTCCTGACCTGGTTATAGTGACCAAGCGTGCCCAGCTCTTAGATCCATAGCACACAGTCTGTCTCCCATCTCTAGCTTGCTCTTGTACATCTAGGTTGGCTTAATCTACATATGGCCTTGTCTTTACAAAAACATTAAAAACTTTGCATTTGATCGTGAGTAGGGTGAAGATGTCAGCATGGGCATTTGGATGGCAGCCATAGGACCTAAAAGACACCAGGTAAGTGGGTATGGGGGTGTTGGCTTCAGGGCTCTTGGAGGTGTGCAAGTGAACTTAGATACTGTGCATCCTATCCTAGATATAAGAAATGAAAGCCTTCTGGCATCCCAGCTGTGCTCAAAAGTTGCAACACTCTGCCTCATTCTTCAGAGCAGGTATCTAAGTTTAAATCAAAAGGAAATGCTATGAATGAAAGTTCCTTATCCACAAAAAGGAATTAGGTCTTTAGATTTCATCAGAAATTCTTTATAGTTTTATAGTTTAGAATCTGTTGACTTGGGTTTCTGGCCCATGACAGTGAGACCTCTCAACTGACACTCTGACAGCAAACTTTTCCTAGTATTTTATTTGTAAGGAGCCAGAGGTAAAAGTGTTTATGCAAAGACCAAAACTGAAGGTAGGAAACTTGAGGGCAGGAGGAACAGGCTTTTTTGCCTCACTTGTACTGACTTCTGGATTCTTGCACCTTCTACTTTGGCTATAAAAGATACAGAGAGCAGGACATGCAGTGCCTGCCATTTAGAGCCACACATCCACACTTGCTCACTTGGGAACAGGACTACATACCCAGTCAGCTCAGCCTATAAGTCCTGTTGCTACATCACACTCTCAGACCTCTCAGTGAATCTGAGCATTGTGACCTGTAGTTTCCAAAGGCTGTTTATGGGGCTTGTGGATGTGTTGAGATCCTTTATTATGACCCTGGGCTGTAACAGTAATACAGAGGATGTTCACTTTGTCCTGTCCTGTGGGGCACTGTCACTTTTAAATACTTCACATTGCTGACTTGGGCTTTCTGAAGCTGAAGAGCCTCTTGGATAGGAAGCTTTGCTCTCTTCCATGTACCAAGGCATGGGGCCCACTCTGCTGCCACTAGTAAGCCCCTCATGCTAGATGTATTTTTGAGAGACAAGGATCACCAAATACCCTCTAGATACATGCTAGTTCCAGCAGTTCCTAGGCCCATCAGAATTGTCATGGTTTAAAAAGATTTTCAGGATCAGGCAGTGGTGGCACACACCTTTAATCTCAGCACTGGGGAGACAGAGGTAGGCAGATCTCTGTTGAGTTTGAGGCCAGCCCTGGTCTAGAGTTCCAGGACAGCTAGGGCTGTTACACAGAGAAACCATGTATTGGGCGGGGGGGGGGGGGATTTTTTTTTCTTCTGGTTTTAGCCAGAATTTGTGTTCTCAGATTCAGTGTGTTTCTTCACATATGTGTTGTTAACTCTGCTTAGCAGTGTGGAACTTGGGACTCAGATCAGGAGTCTTGGATGTGTCTGTTCTTACAGCATAGTGATGGGAAGAATTCGACTTTGCTGTTATAGCATTTGATACTTAAATGAAATGATTTACAAAGAGTTGCAGACATCCTATCAGAACCCTGCTGCCGCTGTTTGTGACCAACTCTAAAAGGGAATACGAAAAGTGTTCATTTGTGTCCTCTGTACTTTTTATAGAATTGCATGTGCTGACCCTTCTGAGAATCTTAATGGTTTTAACTGACGACGTAATGATTGTGCATTTTATGGTGTAGTGTGGCATTCAGTGACTTTTAATCTTTACACTTTAGTTTCTGTGTTCATAGCCCCACGGCTATGAGGCTGTAGTGCTTTCCCAAAATCAGAAGCCACCCCCTCCCCAAATCCAGTGAGTTGGCTCAGCTTTGATAGAGTACATTGAAGTGTCTGACCCACATGTATTGTTTCCTTATTCTGTCTTATATTTCGTTTCAACAGGACAGTCTGTGGCTATGTGAAAAAACCTGTGAGACAGGAATGCTGTCTTCTCCACAGTACTCACCACAAGAGCTGAGTAGACTGTGGGAACTGAAGGAACTGTGTGGGGATCCTTGTCATTGTGAAGCAAAAGCGCTGTGATCCCCAAAGACCAGGGACTGTAAGTCTGAGGAGGAGACCCTGTGGCTGGTGTTGGGCCGTAAGCAGTATGATTATTACCAGTGTTTGCACAGATCTTAATGAATCAGCTGATACTGTAGCATAAGTTTTTATTTATAGATTGGAAGATTATTTAATACCAAATCATTTTTATAAAAAAATATTTGTAACTAACTTCTGATCACTGTTACTAATTAGTAATTCATCACTACCATTTTTGGTTAAACATAGCCAAATTCAAAAAGTTGTAATAACTCCATTTGAATCTCAATCAGAGTTATGAAATAGCTCTGTATAGCTTATGAAAATATAATAGTTATGAAATAGCTCTGTATTAGGCCAGAAAGAACCTACAAAGATGCTGTGTGGTGCTGGGGCCACACATACCAAAGTCTGGGTTGCTGGAAATACCAGTTTGTGGATCTCTGACATGGGCAAACTGGCCTTGAAAAGGAAATACTGTAATCTTAAGTTTGTGATCTTGCTTTTAAAGATTTTTTTTTTTTTTTTTTTTTTTTTACATAAGTGCCATGTTTTACCATTTAATGTAAATCCTGAATGTCTCAGCCTAGCACTCTCACGAAACTTTTTGTTGAGTATGAGTAAAAGTAAACACCTCAGGGTTCAGTGTCACAGGGAAGTAGGGAAGGCACTCTGCCTTGCCTGATGTTTACCTAAGCTTAAGGTGGTGGTAATATGTGGAAGATAGCGTCAGTGTAGGTATAGTATAGGGGAAAGTATGTTGTGGATGTGTTTCCCCAGTTTAAGGGACAGAATGACCAACCAAATCACTGCAGTAAACTTTTCAAACAGTTAAGCAGCCCATAGCAGATGTTAACTCTACTCAGATTTAGACTACTGTTTCTATTCCATATTTACATTTTCACATAATGGAATGCAGTAAACTGTGAAAACACAAGTAGAAAAGTCACTAGTAATCAAAGCCTTTATTAGTCTATTAATATACAACCAAATGGTCCTTTTCCAATTGGTCCTTTTCCAACAAAACATACATCCTTTGTGAAGGCAAAGTTTTTGTTTCTGGTATATACAACCAGTCGGATTGTTACCATCTCACTAGTAGACAATCTCCATTCTCCACAGAATAAAACTGTAATGACTGTAGGTCATTTTCAAGCTCAATTTCTCTGCCTGGCATCTAAAATTAGAACAAAGTGGGGAGGAGTGAGTAAGACAGATCTGAAGATGAATGTTACACATGTTGCCCTCCAATGTCAGGTAGCTTGAGAAGTCTAAATGCTGCCTCCATTTAGAATCTGTTATGTATGGCTCATGGTACTGTGGAAATCTAAGCTTAGCTTAGTTTGTGTTTTTGCTTAGCAACTTACCTTGGGACTCTCATAGGACAACAGAAGTTCTGACACAGGAACTTTGAGAAGACGTGACAGTAGTCCCTTTACCTTTTGGATTGTCATGGAATCTATCAAAGAAAAGGAAAATCCATTTCTCTCAAATGATGACTATGTGTAGAAACAGCTCAGGCGAGACAGCATGATTTTTCCTTTCTTAGCATCAGTTTACCTAAGATACTAAGTGATGAAGGCTTGAGTCATTTTACCAGTTGATTTTTTCGGCAAACTGAGAAATGGAGCCAATGTTTGACCCAGGTGGTCTTGACAGAGCTGTGTCATACTACTTCAATAGCATTTACTATTTCTTCCTCAATCTGAGTAACCAGAAATAATCGTCTCACTAAGGAGGAAAAATATAAGCCTTTGTGATAATTTTCTAATGGGTTGCTGAAGATCCTATGAGTGGGGCCTTGAGGACACCTCTCAGCCTTATTTTCCCTCTAGAAGAGAGCATAGACTTAAGTGGTTGATGAGGTCCCTCCCAGCACGAGCATCCAGTCACCATCAGGATGTGCACACATATGACCAGGTGTGGGAAGATAACTCAGAAAACAAATGCTCTGATTTATTCAGAACACACTACGAACTTCTTTCCAAAGACAGGTTGTGGTACATAATGATATTTTGATTAAGAATACAAGTTTCTCTGAAGCTTTAGCTGAAAGTACAGCAATAGTGTGGTGGTCCCACAAATATCACAATGTAGTCAATTATTTTTCTATAAAAATCGTTTTTTATAAAAGCTGTGTTTTTATGCAACTTGTGATAATAAATCTTCTCTATTTTAGAATAAAACTAGCCTTTTCTTGTTTGTGACCCACTTTGACAGCCATACTACCCTGAATGTGCCTGATCAAACTTGCTGTGTCTAGAGTAGGCTGGGTCCCAGACTGAATAAGGACAGGAAGAGGAGAAAGCAGGTTGAGTTGTCAGCATAGCTTTGCTTCTATAATATGGAAATGATGTGACTGCTGCCACATTCCCACAATTGTCTTTCCTGACATTAACATCCTTACATTGCTTATGTTGAGGATTTCTTCTGAGCAACAAGAAAAAAAGTTAATACACACTGTTAATTTGTCGTTACATGCCACAGTAATTTAAAAGGGAGGGGTGGTGGACTGACCCTAAATGGATGGTTATTCAGGAAAATATTCTTTTGAGTGCAACTAGCCTTCCAAGAGCGATATCACAGGCAAGCTTATTTTGTCTAATGAACAAGGATGTGAAAATCAATGAATTCACTGCACTGGTAGGCAAATAGAGAAATATATTTACTGGAGTCAAACTTGTGTTTCTTCAAGTGCCCCTGGCTTTAAATCTAACCCAGTGTTTAGCTGTGGCTCAAGTTAATCTTAAGAATTTACAGAATTGTGTAATGCTAAAATAATAGGCTGATTCTTCTGAGTGCAAGGTCAATTATATTTACCCAAAAGCATTTATTTCCCTAATATTCACTCAGTTTCTAGTAGTTCAAATGTTTTTTAAAGGATCCTGAAAAATACTCTCCCCCAAGTTGTTTAAAAGCACTGACTTTCCTTTGATCAGGAAATCGTCTCAGAAAAGCCGGAGACAATCAGTCTGGGAGCTTAAATACATAGGCGTGGGAAGTAATTCCTTTAAGGGGCCAAGTGTTTGAGTCCTTACACCTGTGGCTGGATATGCCATCACATGGCACAGGTGTGGTGGCAAAGCCTTTTACCTAAGCACTTGGGAGACAGGTATCTGAGTTCAAGGCTAGCCAGAGTAACACAGTAAGACCTGTCTCAAAACAAAAAGAAACCCCACCACCAAAGGCAGGGGAGCGTACAAATTTTAATAAAACCGTTTTCCAGATAAGCTGATGGCAGACTGGAGACTTGATATGTTTTAGATTAAGCACTAATGAAAACATCTAAGTTCTGAAGTCTATAGAAACTAAAAGCTAACACACTCCACCTAGCTCTAGCCTAAGCCAGTGCTTCAAAGGTACTTGAACAGCAGAGACAGGCATGCTCTTACCTGGCAACTGTTTTTCTAATACTTTCTGTTCATGTTGGTTTGAGCATTTTATCTTCAGTGCTTTAAGGAAAAAGGAAAAAAATTAATAACAACCATAGCAGGTATTCCACAGAACTATTATACCTCTGAGGTAGAGCTCATGTTTTGTATACACAAGACCTCCAGTAAGTAAAAAACATGCAGATCAAGAAACCATCAGATAATACAGCAGTTTGGCATAACTTGGCTCAATCCTCATAAATGGGTCTTAATGGTGTTCAAAATCTCTTATTTCCATGAAGCTAGCTGTGATGGTGCACACCTGTAATTCCAGGCTATAATACCATTTTGAAAGGCTGTGGTAGGATTATCACAAATTCAAGTTCACCCTAAACAACACATGCTAGCTATGAGATGTCTCAAAACAAAAAGCAAAAAGTCAAAAAGGTATCATCATGGTCATCCCAGAACTGGGGAGGCTATAGAAGAGAATAATGAGTACAAGGCAGCCTCGGTTTGTATAACAAGATCATATCTCAAACAGCAGAACCAGCATTCTATCACCTTTTCCTTCCCTCCATACTACTTCCTAACAGTTTAGCTAGGTTCTATATGAAGGACACACCACAGGATTGCACATTACAGCGTGCTTCACTACTCTTCTCTCTTCTACACCTAGAAGGCTATTCAGAGAGTCTGCAGCATGGGAGTGGTCAGAATGCCTAACACAAACTGGGTGAGTCTGAGATTATTACTCCCTAAGACTGGTTCTCAATCTGGGGGAGGCTGTTGCCTTGAATGAGCCTTTCACAGGGTTTGCCTTTGCCTAAAACCATCAGAAAACAGATATTAACATTATGATTCATAACAGTAGCAAAATTAGTTATGAAGTAGCAATGAAATAGTTTTATGGTTGGATGGGTCATCATAACATGAGGAAGTGTATTAATAGGTTGCAGCATTAGGAAGGTTGAGAACCCCTGCCCTAAGAGAACAAACGTACTTCACCCTTATCAAGCAGGTCATCACCATATACTTCACACCTAAGACCCCAGTATAAAGCAGGTGTATGAAAGGATTCTTACTTAGTAGCTGATTCTTGAGCATGAATGGCTGCTGTATTTTGAGTTCCTCATCCTCAGGTGCACCATATTCTGTTTGTTAAATAAAAAGGGATAAATAATAAGCTAGAGGCCATTGTAGAGAAACAATGTTAGTGTGACCAGAGCCTCTCCCAAGATCAATCCAGCATCACTGGTCAAATTATATTGTGATTGGCCTCCTCCTGCAGAACTGCTTTTTGGATGGTTAGGAGAGATAAATAGCCACTCCCAAGGAAGATCATCTTCTATGTGACTGTATGTTCCATGCTTGTTCTAACAGTGGCCTGACTACACTCCCCATGCTCTCAAAATCTTAGTGGTCTATATGCTGAGTTTCTGAATGACTCAGGGCAGCCAGCACATGTGGCATGGAATGCTAGGCAAAGGCAGTGTTGTACACCACACAGCTCAGAATGGTATGCAATTAAAACAATGAGTTTTTGATTTCTGGAACGTTCCACTTAATGTTTGGGGTTTAGGTGGGCTAAAGGTAAGTGAAACTGCAGAAAAGGCTGAACTCCTATCCTCTGCTGCCCTTGGTCAAGTGGTATTGGTTTCTTTGTACACACTTGCCACTAAGAAGCTGAACTACATGAACCTGCCAGCTGCTTAGAACCTTCCCTTTCCTGCCCTCAAGTGACTCAGAATTTACCTAGAGCAGCCAGGAAATTGGGCCAGCTAATGGAGTAATTTGAAAGTAATTCCCACAGGCAGCTTGTCTTCCTAAGATAATGTTCCAGCTGAAGCATTTATTCAGTTAGCTGCTTGCATTGAAAATATGTGAAAAGAAAAACAGCCTAAAAGTGAACCATGGAATTATGAAATGATGATATCAAAACAAAGTGAGAAGTATATTGGGACATAATGCCCAATCCTGTGCTTCAAAGCCTGAGGCCCAGCTATCGAGTGTGCTAAAGGAACTGAACACCAAGTACCAAATAACACAGGCCCAGACCTCAGGATAGGACTTGGGAAGAACAATACAGTTTATGTGTGAACTTGCCGTGCTGGGAGCATTAAAAACACCAGCACTTCCATGACCTGGAGTAGCAGCAACCTTTGCAAAGGGGCTACCCACCACCAGAAACTGAGGGTCTCTGGGGGAACACTTCCAATTTACTGTCTGTTTTCAACTCGCTGATGTGGTACCAGGAAAGTGCCCATAGCCCCTCCTAAAAGGGAACAGGTAACCCCCAAAGCAGGAAACACTGAGTCTTCTTGAACTAACACATTAGGGCCCTGTTCCAGCTGGAGTCCCCATGGGCTACCTGGACGTACTGTGGCACAGAAGCTGGTATCTAGGATGGGCTGAAAGAAACTCTGCATTTGGCCTGTTTTTGTCTGGATCCGGGTGTCCACCAGCTCTTCTCCATTCATTTCCAAAGGTTTTTCGGTAATCAAGCTCAGCTCCACGCCTTTCTTCTGGAAGAATCTGTGTTGATATGAAATCGAAATATGTCATCTTCCAGTGAGCTGCTCATGTTTTTACCCAGTTCTCCCTCTGGTGCTCTAGCACAGACAATACAGTTCTTGCCCTTTAACCTGAGCTAAATCCCCAACCATTCTATACCTTCCTTTTCTAACACAACTCAAGTTTATTCAACAATTCCAAACTGGGTGTTGTGGTTCCTACCAGTAATCCTGCATGGAGTTCAAAGCCAGCCTGAGCTAGAGACCCTTGTCTCAAAAAAACATTTCAAGGTAAATTTTAATTCAAGAAAGACTAGTCATTATATAACCCTTAAAACTTACTTACATCCCCAAGAACTTTCACATTCTTTTACAAAACTAATACCCAGGGCCAGCAAGATGGCCAGCAGTTGAAGCACTTTCTGTAGAGCCTAATGACCCTTGTTTAATCCCTGAGATCCTCGTGTTAAAAATTGAAAACAAACTTCTGCCAAGTTGTCTTCTGATCTTCATATGCCCACTAGTACACGACCCTCTCTCCCCGCAAACAAATAAATGTAATTTAGTTCTTTAAATTCTCGGTTTTTTAGTTTTCTTTTTAAAAAAAGATTAACTTTGTATTTTTGCTGCATTTATGTATTGCAGTATAGTATGCCTGTAGTATCTGAGGAGGCCAGAAGAGGGCATCAGATCCCTGGGAACTGGAGTTACAGATGCTGTGAATCTGTGGGTTGTGGGTTCTCTGCAAAGGCAATAAATGCTCTTACCCACTGTGCCATCTCCAGCATTCCATCCCCCATTTTGTAATTTTCATCATAATATCTGCACCATGTGCCTGGGTTCATCTTTCTTGGTATGGGCTAGAACAGCTGGCTTCCTTTAGGAAAATTCTGAGTGTGCCTAGGCCTCAAAGCCTCACTCTTGGGAGGAACAAAGAGATAAGAGACATGTTCTGGGCCTGTGTTCTGCCTTCTTTACAAGGACACAGGATAAAGTACCTACTAGTCCCCCATCACTCCTTAAATGGTCTTTGTTGTTCAGGCAGCAAAGTAACACTGATCTGGCACTGACCTAAGTATAACCCTCTTCCCTCCAAGGACTTGGCAAAGAATCCCAGTAAACAAAATGCACCTGGTCTTCACTTTATAACAGCTGAATGTAATTTGTCTTACAGTTTTGTCTAGTCTAAAAAAATAAAAATAAAATGTAAACCTAGTGCCATGGTACACCTGTAGTCCTAGCTACTCTGATGGCTGAAGCAGAAGGGATGCTGAGTACAGAAGCTGAGAGGCTTGCTCTCCAGAAAGAAACCAAAGAGCATGGTTAGGGTCCTAGTGCTCACCTGACACCTGTTCAGGGTCTTCAGCTGACCGATCTTGGCAATGATGATCTCTTCTGCTTTGTCTCTTTCACACAGGGGGTTTCTAGTACAGGACAGAGCCTGTAGGCTCTGTAATTTATCTAGCTCATTGATAAATGACCACTAAAGCAACAAAAAGCAAAAGCAACATGTGTTAGAACACATTTCAGATTACTTGGCCTAGCACATAACAGTAAAACTGCCTAGCTCTCACCTGAGGTACAAAGGTGCACGACACTAACACCCACCCATGTGAATTCAGTGATATTCTACGTCTGTATAAATAACTCTAACCCTATAAGTTTCACCCTGAGGAAGCACTTTGCTTTTGGTTTAATGTTTTTTTTAAGATCTGTTTTTATTTTATGTGTATGGATGTTTTGTCTGCATGTCTGTCTGGTCTGTGTATATGTGTGCAGTAAGCAAGGAAGCCAGAAACAGGGCATTGGTCTCCTAGAACTGGAGTTATAAATAGTTCTAAGTTGCCATCTTTCTAAGCCCCTAGTTTAACTTTTTTGACAGAAGGAACCTTCAAACTTTGTGTGCAAACAGAGACAAAGTAGTATTGTGCCCTACACACTGGGGCAGCTCTTACTTCTGAGATTTGGTTGTCATTGACTACGAGGTACTGCAAAGACGGGAACATGGATGTTTTGCACCCTAAAACAATAAAAATGAAACAGTAGGAGTAAAAGAAACAGCTAACATAGGAAGGAAGAACATTACTAATCTTATTTACCAATTCCAGCATCTGGAAAATGTATAGAAGAAAGTCCAATGTCAGAAATGAGTAGGTGTTCTAATCTGAAATTAAAATGTTAGATTTAATTACATAGGACACTAGACTAGACTAGCAAGTCTTTTCCTCCTCCTTGGGTTTCCATCGTATTGTGAACACAAGGTCTAGAAGGAAAGTTGACACTGATTTGTGCTCCCACATGGCCCTCTAAGATTATGGAGTACTACCTCCTATTTTGTCAGGTGCTAAGTGGGTCTCAAAAGAGGTACATGGTTTCACTTCCCCAAGACAAATGTAGATGTAGGTGTCACCACTAGGACCAAGTTTGCAGCTACAGATTACCTGATACCTAGTTCACATAGCACATGAGGGACAAGTACATTCTTTAGATGAGTTCAAGTTGAAATTCTCCAAGGGACTTGCCCAGTTTAGGAACTATATAATTTTTTTTTATCTATTCAGAAGATATATTTAACATATGACAGTTCATTCACTAAAAATGATATGGATCGACAGGCGGTGGTGGCACACACTTTTAATCCCAGCACTCAGAAAGCAGAGGCTGATGAGAGTTTTTTGAGTTCAAGGCTAGGTCGGACTACAAGTGAGTTCCAGAACAGCCAGAGGTGTTACACAGAGAAGCCCTGTCTTGAAAATCAAAAAGGGAAACAAAAACAAAAAAGAAAGAAAGAAAGAAAGAAAAGAAAAGAAAGAAAGAAAAGAAAATGATATGGATCTTCAAACAGGCAAGCTTTAAGGGATTACCTGGGTAGGTATGCTATGAGGCACAGCTGGCTTTCATCAATGGCTGGGTTAGAGGAAAGGTTTAGTAACCTCATCTTCTGCAGGACATTCATTGGCCTATATGGAAAGTACAATTTTTCAATATGGACTAATCTCTTGTACCAGGTGTTACAAAGGGTTAAAGATGGATTTGGCCCCCCCAAAAAAGGCTAACCGAAGGGATGCTCTGTTGAAATGCTGGCAGAGTCAGGGTCCCTATCCTGCCTTTGATAATGGAAGAAAAATGGCTGCACTTGCCTCCACAAATTAAACCATTCTATACAATACAATCTTTATAGCCTGAACTAACTCAAAAATTTCCCCATCCTAGACTTTTGTTCACATACGTATTTAAAAATGTTGCCTAAAAAAGGGAGATGGGGTCAGAGAGATGACTTCAGTTGGTAAAGGAACTTGCCACCAAGCCTGATGACTTTCATTCTATCCCCAAAACCCACATGATAAAAGGAGAGAACTGATCTCACAAATTATTCTCTGACCCCCACATACATGTACACACTCAATCACAGTCTAAATAAATAAACCAAAACAATTTTAAAAGAGGGAAATGAGGGCCTAAAAATATAATTTAGTATCTGAGAGCATTTGCTGCTCTTGCAAGTTCTGTTCTTAGCACCCATGTCAAGCAGCTTTCATTCAACTGCTAGCTCCAGGAAACATGATACCCTCTTCTGGCTTCCTCAGTTACCAGCATATACTAACAAAGACATATAACACAATTTTTAAAAAGAGAAAATACTATTTTTCTAAAGGAAGATAAAACCATATATTTATTTAGGAGAACATGAGTTCATACACTATAGTACAATAGCCTTAAGCAGATACTACCAATGAAAGATCCTTCATTTGCCAGGCACAGCCATCCACACCTGTCTTCACAGCAGTGGGAGGTAGAGGCAGATCAGAAGCTGAAGCTCATACTTGATACATAACTAGTTGGAGGCCAACTTTGAGACCTTGTCTCAACACAAATAGGTCTAACAGGATTGCTCAGTGAATAATAGTGCTTGCTGCACAAGTCTGCCAACTTGAATTCAATCCCTGGGGCTTACAATGGAAAGACAGAGCCCCAAAGGTTGTCCTTTACCCATACCCCCCTCTATTCACACATAAAACACCACATACACAGAATAATAAATTATAAAAAGAGAAAATTCATCATTTACTTTAAAATTTTTGCAATGCTAAAGAATGAACTTAGGAGCTAGAGGGATGGTTCAGTGGTTCAGAACAATGGCTGCTCTTCCAGAAAACTGACATTCAATCCCCAGCACCCAAATGGCAAATTAAACCCTCTCACTCCAGTCCTAGAGGAGCAGACACCAGTGCCTTCTTGAGCATTGCACATTTGTGGTATATAGATCCATTCAAGGCAAATACTCATACACATGACCCAGGGCCTTTGCACATGCTAGGCAAGCATGCTACCACTCATCCCTTAGCCCTTGGTTTATGAGACAGGATCTTACTAAGGTGCCCAGGATGGCCCTGTTTCAAACCATGGGGTGAAAAAAAGCCTGTACTCCCCCAAAAATCAGAGAATACATGTGTGCAAAACTAATAAATTCTAATATCTACTTTGGTTGTTTCTGAGAATTCAAGATATTAATACAACACTAATATTCAAATATTTAATTCGGATGTTTATGATGAGTTTCTTTTGGTTTGAATAACATTTCAGTTGACAATCTAATCTGTAATACAATGAGAAAGGAGTAAGTACTACTATAATGAATGTCTGCAAACTTTCCTAAAAGTTAATGCTGGACTTAACTGAGATTTTATTCAAAATAACTGAATAGCAATACAATCACTGAAGCAAAGCACATTACCTTTCTGAAATGGAGATATTGTTAGATTTGAGGTAAAGTTCCTCAAGGACTGGCCATGAAGGGGCACAGCGCAGCACCTGAAAAGGAAACTGAACTCAGTGTCTGGCAGCCTCTGCTGTCCCTGGCCATGTTCAGCCACATCACCACAGGAACTCTATTCCTTGTGAACAGGTCATGTAAGCACCAAGTGGTGGTGCAGGAGGATGAAGGATCATATTGAAAGACTACAGGAAGACATTTTTCTGACACTGTTAACCCAGCAGCTGAATCAGCACCCAACTTGGGAAGTACTCAAAAGGAGCTGGGAATGCTAATGGACACCCCAACTGGCTAGTGGTCTAAGTCTAGGACAGGATGTGGTACTCACCTTTTTAGTTCCGATACCACTTGGACACATAAGGATATGCTGAGCACATAAATATCTCATCAGTTCTTAAATTTATTCCCTTGAGCCTCACTGCCACCCCCCCCCAATCCAATTGCTAAGGGCTTTTCTGTCTCAGTATGGGTGTGCAACAGAAGAGGGAAGGAAATCTGCCAAAATCGGGGGCCCAGAAAAAGATGTACCAAATGCCACCATGCCAAGGACACATGTGGCTACTCATGAGCCAACCATACCAGGACAGTAGATTGTGAGGACAAATCTGTATACGGGAAGAAGAGACTCTTCACTTCATGCTCTGCCCTAACAACATCTGCAGGGAACCTGGAGGAGCCAGTATTATGGCTTTTAAAACCACACATATTTGGTACATGTCACTGTGAGCATCCATGTTCAAGACTGCAGAGCAATACAAAGGAGCTAAGAAACAGGGACAGGCTGAGAAAGAACATGGATTACCAGATCTACTCTTTTCTATTGTTTGAATAAAAGAGTGACTGAAATGAAACCAGTTAGTCTTCAATTCCCTTTTAAAGCAAAAATTGTAGTCATTTATTACTGTGTAATAAAGCAAATATAATTACCTCAGCCCATGTTATTCCCATTTTATTTAGGACTAAAATCTTCAGATTAGAAAATGTTCCAGTTGGAGTTGGTGAGTCACAGGGAAACTGCAGTTTATTTTCACTGAAAAGAAAAAGGAGATATGAAGTACATACTCCTACATGGCAGGTTCAACACTGTGACTTCAACAGTCTGGGGTTTAACCTGAAGATTTGAGAGGGGTGAAGCTTCAGGTTTCCTCATACAAGTGAAGTTGACTTGGGCTCCCATATTCCAGAAGAGGAGAAGTGGATTAAATTATACTCATGTGCTCTATAAGAGGTGCCTTCAAGCTTGACTGCCTCTCTATTGCACCTGTTTTGGCCTAGTAAGGCTTACCTGCCTATGTGAAGCACTTAGGAATGAATGCGATAAGGGCTGGGGTGTGTTCAGTAGTAGAGAGCATATGAAGCACAAAAACCTGGGCTTGGTTCCCAGCATATTCAGAAGGAAGGGGAGGAAGGAGGAATGTACTAGCCTAGTTGAGCCCTTGGAAAGTGAGGTTGAGAGATTAAACTAATCAAATATTTGGGAAGGCCTCCGAAAATATAACCTGAGTAAGCTGAGAAGTTAAAAATCTTTATTAAATCTACATTACGCAATGTCCCAATAAACTACTTATTCCTAAAGAATTAAACAGCGATTTCAAATAAACAAGTATGTTCAGCATTAACCCCTCTCCTCTGCTGAGACCACACGTACCATAGTCTCTCTTTCATGGTCAGACTTATAAGCTATGAATATCTACTCCCACCCAGCTGATCAGCACACAGATATATTCCTTATTCATAAACTTCAAGGGACCATTTGAAAACTGCCCTTAAATGAACTTTCAGCAAAGTCCATTCAGCTGTCAGAGAAGGCAGTGTAGAGTCCATACCTGAGATCCAGAGACTCCAGGTTATTGAGCTGCTCTGCAATAAGAATCACTTCATCCCAAGACGACAACAAGTTTTTGGACAAATTTACAACTCGAATATCTAAAGGCATATTTTAAGAAAAAGTAATTTCCAAAAGACTCCCCAAAGACAGAATTAGTAGCATTCTAATTCAGAAATGGAGATTTTATTTGTTTTGTTCTTAAGACAGGGTTTCTCTGTGCAACCTTGGAACTCACTCTATAGACCAGGCTGACACTGAACTCAGAGATCGCCCTGCCCCTGCCTCCCAAACGTTGGGATTAAAGGTGTGCACTACCACTGCCTGACTGGAGTGGTGATTTTAAAATTCTCACTGTCTGGTCTGAATTTTTTTTTCAGGAACTCAAGTATTTTTATCTTTTAAATTATCCGTTAGACTGGATATATAGAACAATGGTGGAATGCTTCTCTATATGTCCAAAGTCCTGAGCTCCAACTCTAACATTGAAAAACTAAAAGAAACACTATTATCCTGGTTCATTCAAAAGCTAAAATACTCATTTTCATGTAAAATGTGAGACAAGCATCTATAACCAAAGGAGAATCAAGTGTCATAATCAAATTTCTGCAGGATTGACTAAAAAAAAAAAAAAAAAAAGACAGTGACAGATAGCAGCTGATACACTGTGCAGCATCAGGTGACAACCAACAGGCCTTGCCTTCAGCACTGCCTTAAAGCCACATGCATGTACGACTGTGCACACAGCCACCCCTCTCTCCAGAGCACCAGTCCCAAACCCACAGAACTAAACAGCACCGGCCTAGAAGAGAACACATGGGTGGCAGTAACACAGGCAAGACAGAGGCTGAAAACCACCTGAGAACTCAAAGCCTGCAATATCTGTGGTTCAGGACCACAAATTTAGAACAAGGCTCTGGGACCATCACACATGCATGATCAATATCCATGTTCTCAAGCGGCTCAGAGTGTAACACAGTCCCAGACCAGCTAATGGAAGGCCTAACATTACCACCTATTAAGTGTGGGTGTTACTGTGGTTACTCTACAAATTGTTATTTATCAAGGGCCAACCTTCCTAATGCTGTGACTTCAATACATTTCCTCATGTTGTGGTGACCCCAACCATGAAATTATTTTTGCTGCTATTTCATAACTGTAATTTTGCTACTGTTATGAACCATAAGGTAAATATTTTAGAAGACAGGTTTGCCAAAGGGGTCACAACCTATAAGTTGAAAACCACCATCCTAGGCCTCGATGGCCAGACTACATCATGAAAGACATCCAGGCTGCTTCCAAGCCTACTAGTCTGACAGAAATGGAAATACTGGAGAGGCTTGAACAGACTAATAGGACATGACCTGGGTCTCAGGAAAGTCACTCTGCTATCAAGTTGAGCTAAGGACTATAGGGAAACAAAAGAAACAAATGGTACCCTGTCTTAGTTAGGGTTACTATTGCTGTGATAAAACACCATGACCAAAAGCAACTTGGGGAAGAAAGGGTTTATTTGTCTTACATATTCTGAACCATAGTCCACTGAAGAAAGCCAAAGCAAGAACTGTGTGGGAACCTAGAGGCAGGAGCTGATGCAGAGGCCATGGAGGAGGGCTGCTTACTGGCTTGCTAATGGCTTGTTCAGCCTGCTTTCTTACAGAACCCAGGGCACAGGGGTGAACACTACCCACAACGGGGTGGGCCCTTGCCCATCAACCACTAAGAAAATGCCCTATAGGCCTTCCTACAGACTGATCTTATGGAGCATTTTTCCAATTGAGGTTCCATCCTCTCAGATGACTCTAGCTTACATCAAGTTGACATAAAACTGGCCAGTACAGCCCCACTATAGGCTTGGATCGCACCTCAGCATGACAGGAGAAGGAAGTATCAGGCTGAGTACCTCAGGCTGAAAGCAGAACCAGCAGTATTTGCCAAACATAGGAAGTAAGGAAAACAGAAATAGAGTTGGTCAAACACATGGTACTGCTGTTTGCTGGATGTAGAAATTATCGTACAATGTGGTACATTTACACAATGGAGTACTACACAGTAGTAAGAAACAATGACATCCTAAAATTTGCAGGCAAATGGACAGAACTAGAAAAAAAAAATCCTGTATGAGGTAACCCAGACCCAGAAAAATAGATATAGTATGTACTCACTCATAAGTAAATACCAGATATAAAGCAAAAGGTACCCAGCCTATAGCCTACAATCCACAACCCCAGAGAAGCTAGAACCCTCTTTCAGAAACAGATGGAAGCAGATGCAGAAATCCACAACTAACCATTGGTCCGAGCTCCTGGAGTACAATCAAAGTGAGGAGGAAGTGATAATATGAACAAAGGAGTCAAGACCATGATAGACAAACCCACAAGAATCAGTTGACCTGAGCTAGTGAGCGATCATTGACTCCAGTCTGACAACTCAGAAACATGCAAGGATTCCCTGAACATAGGTGAGAATGGTGCAGCTGGGGCAATATATGAGGCCGCTGGCAGTGGGCCCAAGATCTAACCCTAATGCACAAACTGACTTAGTGGAGCCCATTTTATATGGAGAGATATCTTGCTCAACCTAGATATAGTTGGGGTGGGGGAGGCCTTACCCTCTCTGAGGAGCAGACAGGATGGGGGGGCAGTGGGAGGATTAGGAGGAGAGGAGGGAGAACTGGGATTGGAATGCAAAAAATAAATTCAAAAAAATATTAAGGCGGGCTAGAAAGATGGCACAGTGGTTAAGAGCACTGGCTGCTCTTCCAGAGGTCCTGAGTTCAATTCCCAGCAACCACATGGTGTCTCACACCATCTGTAATGAGATTCGGTGTCCTCTTCTGGCCTGCAGGCAGACATACAGGCAGAGCACTATATACATAATAAATCTTTGAAAAGATTACTGAAGTGGGCTGGAGAGGTCTCACTGTGGGACATGTTTTTGAGATAGACATTAGACAGAAACAGGTGTTAAATGAGCCCCTGGGAAGAGCAGGGAAAAGGGAAAGATGAGAGCAATAGGGGAAGGGAGAAGCATGTTGGGGTCCAGTTGTGCCCCAGCAGAGTCTCCAAGAGAAGCTGAAGACACACAAGCACTCTGCTGAGAGAAGGGGCCTTTCATAAAGAGACAGGATGCATTCACCCAAGGAGGAAGAAACCCACAGCTGAACCTTCAATTAATTTATTTATTTAATTTTGAGATAGGCTCTCTTGTAGCCCAGGGTGGCCTTAACTCACTATGAGGATACAAATTCCCTTAAATCCATGATTCTCCTGTCTTGTTTAATACCAGGATAACAGGCGTGCACTCCACACCCAGCTGCTGATTCACCTTTTCCACCTTAGAAATTCCAAAGCACAACTATGTCTTATATAGAGAAGCAGGGAACAATCAACCTGTCAGTCCCCATCAAAAGTCCGATTTTATGCATCCCACGATACAAGTAGGAACATCAAACATACATGAAACATGGAGACAGGGCAGTTGTGGCAACTCAGATGAATCATCTCAGTACTAGGAAGGCTGGGGCAGAGGGGCTGAAGCAATTTCAAGGCCAGCCTGAGCTACAGCGTGAGACACTATATCAGAAACGTACAACAACAACAACAAAATACCCACAAACATGGAGAGCCTGTTTTACCACTCCAGGGCTTTGGCTGGAAATGAATCAGTCTCAGGAGGAAACAGGCGGGGGAACTTCATGAGGAGCACAGGGCAAGGAAGAAAGGCAGACATATACAGTCATACCCAAACCTACCAACCTAATACATGTGCCCACCTCCAGTCAGCTCTCAGCCTTACTGGATAGCTTTCTTCACACTGGAAAGACAACTGATGGAACCCTGGGCATCCCCTGCCCATACTGAGGAATGACCAGAGATCAATACAACAGAGGAAATTTTAACCAAGTCTATCCCTTTGCTAGGGGCCCACTCTGAGAGCTAAGCATGGTGATTCATACTGTATGTAATACCAGCACTTGGGCAAAGCTGAGATAGGAGAACTAACATGAGTTCAGGGCCACCCTCAGGTTCATAGTGAATTCAAAGCTACCATGAACTGCCAAGTAAGACTCTTATATTTTTTTTCTTTTTTTTTTTTTCTTTCTAAATTTTATTTCTTTTTTTTTTTTTATTTTTTTTTCCTTTTTTTTTTTTATTTAAATGTGAAACAAGGTTGTTTTACATGTCAATCCCAGTTCCCCCACCCTCCCATCCTCCCCTATCACCCCACCAAACCCCAGCCCATCCCCTTTCTGTTCCCCAGAGAGGGTGAGGCCTTCCATGAGATAATTAATACTCTATCTTAAAAAAATAAATAAAAAGCCTCCTCCCCAGCACCAGAAAACTGTATTAAAGCATAATAAAAATTTTTACACTCATTGGCTTTACTTGCAGGCAAAAGTGTCTGAGAATGTTTGGGAATGTACTTAACTGAGCTGTATGCCTTAACAAAGGCACACAACCAATGGCTTCAGGAATGAGCTGGCAATGAAAAGGATACTGGGGCAGGCTTCAGCAATTCTTCCTTGTTCCCCAGCACAACTCACAGCACACTTCCACAGGGAAATGTCTTGCAATGCTCTCAGTTGGCTGCATAAAAAACAGTTCATATGTACATATAAACCATATGTTACCCACTGGTCCTTTAAAACCTTACACAAAATACTAAAAATGTAACAAATGCACTACCTACCACATAAATTAAGAAGCAAAGTATTACAAAGGATAATGAAATGAAGCATCATAGATTAGAGGCAGCTGTAGACAATGCCCCTCTCCAACACACCTTGCTCTCCCTCATTCTCAGCAAACTCTCCAGCCATAGCTGCCATGCACTTCATCCTGACCAACTCTGTGCCTCCACTGTTTGATTATCTACCATGAAGTAATGTAAGTGACACTCTGCTATACAGATCCTCCTGTGACTTCTTTCCTCTAAAGAATGTTGTGAAGCAATGAGATTCCATATCAGTGACACTCAGACACTTGTCTTCAAACTTAGTGTTATACTAGACCCCAATGAGGTTCCTCATTCTTCTGACAGTTGGCTGTTCCCTAAAAAGCTGAAGTGACACTATTGAGCATCTCCTGCCCACTGAAACAGACTGAAACAAAGCCTCTCTAGGAAAATGTCTAAAGCTTTGTGTGTGAGAGCTCTCAGCTATTTCCACATATGCAGGATTTGTGTCCTCTACCTGTCAGAAGAGCCAATGTCCTGGCACTCACAATCCATAGCTAGGCTTCAAGGCCCATTTCTACCACCTCCTGTGGTTCTAGGCAAGTTGATTAAACTCTTGGTGCCTCTAGACTTCATACTGGTAAAATGCTGTTGCATTCATTTTAATTGTAGCCGCTTTATTCACATAATAACCAAAAGGTAGAAACAGCCCAAGTGTCCAGAACAGATGAACCAAATGTGACATCACATTTGACATGCAGTGTTTGGCCTTAAGAGGGAAGAAATTCTGACAATCCATAAATGGAGAGAGCTTGAAGATGTTACTCTAATCAAAATGATCAGACAGACACAGGGATAAATATAGCACAAGGATCCCACCTGGTGATCCCAGAACAGATAAAGTGGCAGATAGAAAGAAAAGGGCTGGAAGAAGTCGAGATAGGGAATTAGTGATTATAGGGGATGGAATTTTAGATTGGAATGATGGGAATATCTGGGGACTGGTTTACACAATGACTAGAGTTGACACTGCTAAACCATTACTACGTATACTCTGCTATAATTTTAAAAACACAACAATGACTTAGTGAGTTAGTATTTATGAATGTCTCAAAACACTGCTTAACACACAACTGCTTATTTTAATTAATATTTGTAAAAACAGAAAATTGACCACATTGAGGTATAAACACAAGTTAAATGCATGGCAAAGGTGATTACAATCATCAGAAACAGGCTCTAGGCAGAGGCCCTTACACTTGTTCAACAGGCTCAGAGAGTTTCAGTGACATTTCCTAGCTCCAATTTTGTGTGTGGTTAGGACCAAACAACTTCATGATGACTTAGGTATTAACAACCTAACTTAGGTGCTACCAACTTAGTATCCCTGAGAACTGCATAACCAAGGATGATCACTGACTCCTGATTCTCCTACCTCCACCTCCCAAATTTAGGGTTACCAGTATGAATAAACCACATTCAGCTAAACGAGGGTTTTAATTTCCCCAAATAATCAGTGCTTGTGTTCTCCACATTTCAAGCCACTATGTGAAGATGAACCAACATGGAAGGAAAGTTGCAAGGATCACCACACAATGAGAACTTTAATCCTGGTCTAGTGACTAAAAGCCAGGCTGCCAACATCAGTTCTTACCTCTGCTTCTTTGTAATACTGTCAAAACCAACAGTTTCCACTTGTTTACTTCCAACTATTAGGGAACATGATTTTCCATCCTCATCAGATCCATCTTCTAATGTGTAACGCTTCTTAAGGGCAGTAAGAAAGTCTACTCCAAAATTAGCTTTGTTTGGACGAACAAAGGAGCCTCCTGTTGGGTGCCTGAGAAGGGAGAGAAATTACTATATAAATATCATCTGGCAATGAGCATGGTGACAGAGGCCTGTCAATTCTAGATAATGGGAGGCTAAGGCAGGTTCCAGACCAGACAAGGCTACATAGTAAGACCTTGTCTCAAAAAAAAAAGAATAATTTCTTACATTATTAGATACCACTTTATATTATTTAATCAAGAGATATTAATATGGCCAGGTAGTGATGGCACATGTCTTTAATTCTAGCATTCCAGAGGCAGGCAGAGTTCTGTTGAGTTTGAGGCCAGAATGGTCTACAGAGCAAGTTCCCGGATAGCCAAAGGTACCCAGAGAAACCCTGTCTTGAAAAGCAAATATAAATAAATAAATTAAATAAGGCCCCCAAAAGTAATGACTATTATAAGACTTTTAAAACTACTTTTAATAGAGGTATGTTACTGGGGTTTGAACTCAAGGCCCTACACATATTATACAAACATTCTATGATCCATATCTACAGGGTCTCATTAAGGGCCTTGAACTTTAAACAAAAGAAACTTAAATATCTACATATCTATGTGAGCATATGAGCGCCACGGCACGTATGTGAAGGAAGGTAAGAAGACAGTTTTCTCCTTTAACTGTGTCCCAGGGATCTAATTCTGGTCATCTAGCTTAGCAGCAAGTGCCTTTACCAGCTGAGTTATTTTACATGCCCACACTGAATTTTCTACACTTCTGCTTTAGCCTCCAGAACAGTAAGATAATGGGCATGTGCCATTATGCCCAGAAATTACTATATTTAATTCACATAGTTGCTTTGTTAATACATATTTTGTTTTCTGTGTTTTTCAGACAGTCTCCCTCTGTAACACAGGCTGGCCTTAAACTCCCTACATATCTCACACTAATACTGAACTTGTAAAGACCCTCCTAACTCAGCCTCTCCAGTGCTGGAATTGTAAGAGTTAGTTATTTACTACTTTTAATTACTTTAATTAATGTTTTTATTTTTTTTATGTATGAGTGTTTTGCCTGCATGTATGTATGTGCATCACATGTGTGCAGTGGTCAATGAAGCCAGAAGAGGGCACCAGAATCCCCGGAACTGGAGTTAAGGGCAGTTGTGAGCCATGTATGGGTGTGAGAAACTGAACATAGGTCTTCTGCAAGACTAAGCCATTTTTCCAGCTTCTTGCTTACTACTTTTTAAATAGTATTTTATGCCTCCCAGAATGATTCAGAATAGGGGAGGTGGGAAATAAAAACTGACCTAACATAAACTGCATAAAACTGTAGAATCTAAGGTTGAATGAAAACTTGGTTTTAGAAAAAGCTAAGAAAATTTTTCTTTTTATAAATAAATGTTGAAAAGGTTTTTTTTTTTTTTTTTTTTTTTTTAAGAAATGCTAAAGGCAGGGGATGGGATGAGGATGAGAGAGAAAGAGAAAAGACAAATTGTTAGGTAAGCCAAAGGGTTCAGTGTGCCAGTAAGTGCTTCTTGTGCCAACCTGGTAACCTCAGTTCAACACCAGGACGCATGTAAAGCTGGAAGAAAGACTGACTCCGTAAAGTTGTTCTCCAACTTCCACACATGCACAGTGGTACAGACGCCACACACACACCATGTGCATACACAATAACTTTTGAAATTAAAAAATGTAAATTAAACCAGGCATTGGTAGACCACGCCTTTAATCCCAGCTCAGTTCAAGGTCAGCCAGGTCTACAGAGATAGTTCCAGGACAGGTTTCAAAACAATACAGAGAAATACAAACAAACAAAAATTTAAATTAAAATGCTAATGTTTACAGTAAAGTACTGGAATTAGAAATACGAAATCTTTCTGGGCCGTGGTGGTTCATGCCTTTAATCCCAGCTCTTGGGAGACAGAGGCAGGTGGATCTCAGAGAGTTCAAGGCCAGCCTGGTCTATAAAATGAGTTCCAGGACAGGCAGGACTTAGAGAAACCCTGCCTTGAAAAACCATTAAAGAAAAAGTATAATTTTTTTTTCAAATACTGTGATCTAAATTAAAAAAAAAACAAAAAAACTGCAAGCTGGAGAGATGACTCAGCAATTACAGCATTGGCTGCTCTTACAGATGACCAAGGTTCAGTTCTTAGCACCCACATGGTGCTTAAAACTGTCTCTAACTCTAGTTCCAGGAAATCCAACACCCTCACACAGATAGATATACATGCAGGCAAAACACCATGGTACATAAAATAAAAATAAATAATTAAAAAAAAAGTTTTTAAAAACTAAGCTAGAATTTAAGAAACGGGACATTTTGCCAGATGTGATGATATATTTCTTCTATCCCAGCACTCAGGAAGCAGAGACAGGTAGGTATGTCTCTGTGAGTTCAAGTTAAAGGCCATTCTAATCTATATAGCAAGTTCCAGGTTAGCCAAGGCTATACAGTGAAACCTTCTGGGGAAAAAAAGAAAAGAAGAGAGAAGGGGAAAGAAAGAAAATATGTATTTAAGGTGATGATAGAGGAGGAAAAAAAACTGCAAATCACAAATAGGGGACTGGGGAGATATTAGCTGGGTAACATGAGTTAAGGCCCCCAGCATCCACATAAAGGCTAGCCACTGGTGACACATACCTATAACCCCAATATAGAAATAGAAAGATCCATGGGGACTACAAGCCTGCTAGTCCAGCCAGTAAATGAACTCTAAGTTCAGTAATCCTGCCTCCAAATACAAGGTGGAAAGCAATAGAGGGAGACACCATATGCTGACCTATAGCCTCTGTGCTAGTGCATGCATACGTACATACTTATGACTTTTCTGAGACTGTTTTGCTACTCAGTCCTTGAACTCACGATCATCCTGCCTCTACCTCCACCTCTACTGTAGTTTCGAGATTACATGCATTTAGCCTCAACTCATACTTCTTATAGCAATGGTAATGAGTCAGTCAAAGGGAGATATTTATCACTTTTGGTTGTAGGCAGATGGAGAATGTGGAATTGTGTCAAGGGGCTGTGGAGTAGAGCCTGTACCTGTTATAGATCAAAGATCTCAATCTTGAAACATTCCCAGCAGGTTTCTAGCCAAATGAATGCTCATCAGTAACAAATCTCGAGAAGATACAGTGATTTAGATGGAAATCACTAATATTCTAAATTAATGTAAAGATGCTGCAGTGAAACAAAATTCTGAACCCAGGAGGAAGATGGAGCAACTCATAAGTATCCTCATCCCACTGTTCCCTACTGTTCAGAACCCCAGAAAACTTCACAGCTTCTGACATATACAAGGAAACCAAAAAAAGGTATAGTGGTCTTTAATTCCAGCACTCAGGAGGCAGAAGATAGATCTCTGTGGGTTCAAGGCCAGCCTGTTCAACACAGTGAGTTCCAGTCCAAAAAAAGAAAGAAGAAGCCAAGGACTAGTCAAGGCATGACAGTGTTCACATATCATCCTAGAACTTGAGAGGTAGAGGCAGGAGGACCTCAAGTTCAAAACCAGCCTTAGCTATACAGCAGGTTAGAGGTCAGCCTCTACAACATGACTAAAACAAAAAGGAAGTGGGATGGGAGATGGCTCTGTGGGTAAGAGTACTGCTGTGAAAACATTACAGCTAGTATCCCCAGCACCACGCACAGCCACATAAACTATAATCCCAATATTATAATAGGGCGTGTGGCAGAGCTAGGTGGTTCATGTGTTTGCCTGCCAGCCAATCTACACAAAACAGTGAGCTCTAGGTAAGAGGCACTATCTCAAGAAAATTCAGCAGGGCTGGGAGGTAGTGGCACACACCTTTAGCCCAAGCATTCTGCAGGCAGAGGCAGGCGGATGTCTGTGAGTTCAAGGACAGCCTGGTCTACAGATTGAGTTCCAGGACAGGCTCCAAAGCTACACAGAGAAACCCTGCCTTGAAAAACTAAAACCAAACAAGAAAGAAAGGGAGGAAGGGAGGGAAGGAGGAAGGGAGAAGAGGGAGGGAAGGGAGAAGAGGGAGGCAGGGAGGAGAGGGAGAGAGGGAGGAAGGGAGGAGAGGGAGAAAGGAGGAAGGGAAGGAGGGAAAGTTCAGCAAGAAGCAAAAGACAACACTTCTCTGGCCTCTACACATATGAGTCTATCTACCTGCCTCTGCCTCCTGAGTGCTGGGATTAAAGACATGCACCACCAGGCTGAAGTACCTTTTCAAACCATTCCAGATCCAACTTCTTCTCCAGTCCTATTATTTAATGATTAATTATGACCTTGCCAATTCATAAGAAATATTTACCTGCATTTAAAATACATAGTACCTTCATGGCTGCCATCATGCTTTCCTCTCTCAGGATTGTCCCATTCGACTCCTAGCCAGACTCCTAGCAAAACAAAAAGAAAAAAAGAAATGAGTGATAAAAGATGAGAGGGACACTCTATTCTCCTTCAAGCAAATACAATTTGTAACAGAAGCTGCATCACACACAGGTTGAAAGGCTGGCCTTGAACTCATAAGATCTGCCTGCCTCTGCACTGGGATTAAAGACATGCATGGCCAACGGCCCAGTTCTCTCCTTTTTCAACTCCTCCCATTCTTTTTTCCCCCTAGGTTTCTCTTCCCAATTATTCTCTCTGCTTGCCAGCCCTGCCTACCCAGCTAGTGACCATTCAGCTCTTTATTAGACAAATCAGGTGTTTTAGACAGGCAAAATAACACAGTTTTAGAGTTAAACAAATGCAACATAAAATAATGTAACACATCTTTGCCTCATTAAACAAATGTTCCACAAAACAAACAAATCTTAACACATCTTAAACTAATATTCCATAACAAAGTAACACTCAAAGGGGTTGTGCACATATAATTAAGAAGTATGCAGGAGCTTACCAATCTTTCCCCTCAGTTCTGCTGTGGACTTTAAACTGCTCTAAAAAATGAAGTCTAGGAGCCAGACATGTCTAGGGCTGGCCAGTTGGTAGATCAGGATGCTTACCACTAAGCCTGTGTTGAATCCCTGGGACTTACATGGTGGAAGTAGAGAAACACCACCAGCCAAGTTGGACATGGGTGCTCACACGCATGTATTTACACAGACAAAATAAACTAGTCTTAAAAAGAAGCTTGTAAGGAGAATGGGTTTTTCTACCCGCCGCCGGCTCTTGTTCTGTCACCAAGCCAGCCCCAAATAACACACTGAGACTCTGTATTTGATACAATGCTGTTGGCCTGGTTACTTGTTTTTTTCGGCTGGCTCTGTCTTAAGTATTAACCCATTTCTGCTGACCTATGTATTTCTCTTACCGGGGAGCTGGTGGATACTGCTTTCTCCAGACTCTCCATCTTGTTTCTCTCTCTTCCTTCTTTTTTTTTTTTTCTTTTTTTTTTCCTCCTTCTTTTTTTTTTTTTTTTTGGCCAACAGTGTTTTTTTTTTTTAAAAAAAGTGAGAAATATATAAAAAAAATCTCCCCCCCCATGCTTACAAAGCCTATGTATAAAATGAGTCCATATGATCAGTGTATTTCTACCTTATATACTAACACAAAAGGCCATATTATAATTGGATTGACTGCTGAGCATTAAAGCCAAACTAAAGGACGCTAGTATACATGAAGCCTTGGGTTCCATCTTCAAGGCTAGGAGGTTAAAGTTGTTGGATAAGTAGACTATTTAATTGAGTTTGACAGAGGTATCACCAGGTAAGTGACCTTACCAATAGGCTAGGAGCTACTCCAATTACACTATCTGTAACTACAGGGCCCATCTCATCACAGGGCTAGCCTGACTACTGGACACTGCAGACATTCACGTGCCATTCCTTTACCCATTGTACTAAAGCACAAGGATGGATATTGCCAGAATTATTGGCTTTGTTGCTGCTTTGACTCTGGCTTCCTTGCACAAAGTCCTAAGATAACTATTTTGAAAGATACCTAACTATACTCATGTGATGAAAGATTCTCAACTATATCTCTACAATGCTCAAAGAGGGCACACCTTCTCAGAGCCTCCAAATGTAGCCAACAGCTCACAGCCAAAATTAAGTTTCACTATTCTAATGGTTGGAATCCGATATTGCAAGGTTAGCCTAAACAAAGCTATGAAGGAGGCTGGTTTGAACAACATACTAGGCAGTCTCAGGTCTAGAATACCCCAATGTCTCTGTGCTTTTGTAATCTACAACCTGTGTCTTTAAAAGATCTACAACAAACCGTGATGGTGGTGGTGGCCTTTAATCCCAGAACTTGAGAGGCAGCACTTGGGGAAAGCAGGCACTGCAACCTACCTGGGCAGCACAGTAGAGCTGACCATATTGACAGTGGTGTAGGTGAACCCAGCTGAGAACATGAGCATCAAAGATCAGGCCCCACCCATCATCTGCCATGTGGTGGTGTGGGCAAGGGAGAGATGCCCCCACCTTATGGCAATTGGGAGAGCTAGCCCTGAGGTCATAAAATTGGGTGAGATGTTCCTGCCCCTCACCAGCTGCAGCACTCAGGAGAGTGGTCCCTGCACCTCACCTAGGCAGTAGAGTAGAGCTGGCCCTGGTGGTATAGGTATGAGTGAGCCAACCCTGAGGGCATGAAAGCAGAAAGGGCTCCACCCCTTGCTCATTGCTACATAGGATGAACTAGTGGGGCAATGCTGGAGAGCTCACCCTGGTGGTGAGGACCAGGGAGAGCTGGCAGGCTGACCAACCCTGCAATTACCCAGGCCCAGAACCAGGGTTATGAATTGGCTTGCCCCAACATCCACCCCATCTATAATCTGAGAGGAAACATGAAGGGTATGATCCTGCAGATCCAAAGCTGCAGGATCTCCACAACACATGACAACAACAGGATATCCAGGAGTCTCAGTATCAACAGTGTAACAGAAACTATAATGAATACTAGCAAGTAAAGATCTATGGATAAAAGGATATACTATGTGACTCACTACAGCTTCCATGAGGAGATCTTTCTTACGTTTTCACTTAAATTTTATTTTGGGGAGAGGGAGGTTGCAAGGGAAAATATGAAGGGATGGGGAGATGAATGGGAGAGATGCATGATGTGAAAGACACAAAGAATGAGAAAGTTAAAAAATATTAAAGAACTGAGGACATGGCTCAGTGGCAGAGCACCTGCCTAGCATGTCTAAGGTCCTGGGTTTAGCCCTCAGTAGAAAAGAAAATTAGAAATTATCAAATTGTTTGTGATAAAATTTGCTACAAATTTTAAGCAGGGCTGCCTTCCAGTAACAAGTAAATTACAATAAGCTCCCCAAATACTTAATGCTCACACTACTTACTTGAAATTCTTACAATCTCTGGTCTAAACACAATCTCATGTCTACCAAAGACAATGACTGGTGTGACATAAGGTTTCAATAAATGTTTTGTCTGGTTGATAAATTTAGTTCTTTCTCTCTCTTACTAGCTCTCTGGTTTAGAACCCAGAAGCTTGTGGTTGGTTGCTGTGTGGCTGGGTAAGCACCACTTTAGCTGTTTCTGCCATCTCCGAGAACATATTTCACTGACTTCCCTCTTGTAGGGTCTGTTCACCCCACATAGGCACCGACAACAATCAAAGAAACACTCCATCCTGGTCTACCTGGGGAACCAATAAGTTTAACTGGGGTGACTTACAGGAGCAGGAGCCATTGAAAGCCAGCCATACCAACTCCAGCTTCTACTGCAAAGCTTCTACTCTCAGGAAGAAGTATAGCCTAGGGCAATGCCCCCTCCCCCATGTCCCCATAGGCCCAATCTTGTACTGGTCTCAGCTGACTGTTCAAGAGGAAAGCATTCCACAACAGGAAAGTATGTCAGGTGCCACACTTAAACACTCACACACTCCTGTCAGTACTGGTAGGAGGATAAAGTTAAAAAACAGTAACAAGATCTGAAAGCTAAAGAAGAGTGCTGTCCATGACATAGATAGGGATTTAGCACCTTACCACACTGAGTCAAGGTGTGGTACCTTAATGAAGCTTAAAAAAATAAGCAAACTTTAAAAACCTGCAACAAACAATGCTAGCTGGGTGTGATGGTACATCTTATAATCCCAGCACTCAAGAGTCTGAAGCTGGACACCAAGAATATGAGATCAGCCTGGGACAGACAGTGAGAACTTGTCTCAAAAACAAAACCACAGGTGGAGCATGCCTTTAATCATAATACTCAGCAGAGGCAAGTGAGTCTCTGAGTTTGAGGCCAGCCTGGTCTACAGAAAGAGTCCAAGACAATCAGAGATATACAGAGAAACCTTGTCTCAAAAAACCAAAGTCAAACAAACAAACAAATACCAATAAAGTACAATTAGAAAATGTTATATATATAAAACTTAGGCAAATACTCAGCTCATAATGTTAACCCTTGCATTAGGTAAATAAAGCTAAAACAATCTTAAAATATTAACACTTCTCTATTTTCAAGAAAAAAGAATATAGCAACAGGAAACGGTGAGGCCACAACAAAGATTTTGTTTGGGGGGTGGGAGGAGAGCAGGGTTTCTCTGTGTAACTTTGAAGCCTCTCCTGGAACTTGCTCAACACAGACATTCTTTATTTGGAAACCCATCTCTAAAATCAATCAAGAATTCTGATGCTTGGACAGATGGCTCAGTGGTTAAGAGCACTGAATGCTCTCCCTGAGGACCCTGGTTCAATTCCCAGCACCCACATAGCAGCTTACAACTGTCAGTAACTTCAGTTCCAGGGGATCCTGAATCCTCACACAGATATTCATGTAGGCAAAACACCAATGCACATGAAACAAAAATAAATAATTTAAAAAAAAGAATTCTGATGGCAAAAAGTAAAGGAATAAAATTCTATCATATGACCTCTAAAAGGAAGCTAGAATCCTTTGGTGCTTAAATCAGTAATCCCAGCACTGGAGAGACAGGAAGTCCACCTCAAGTTGAAGGTGAATCTAGCTTATATATTGAATTTAAGACATGGGGCTAGAGAGATGGTTTAGCAGTCAAAAACACTAGCTACTCTTCCAGGTGGCTTGGAATTTGCCATGTAGATCAGGCTGACCTAGAACTCAAGAGATCCACCTGCCTCTGACTCTGAGTGCTGGGATTAAAGGTGTGTGCCATCACATCCAGTTCAAAACTGGTATGATAAAGCACTACAGAGGTTTATATAGACTTGACTCAAAGGTTTACACATAGTGTTATAGCTTACCTGCCACAGGAGGAACAGCACCACAAAAGCGCACTGTTGCAAATTCTTCATTAACTTCAACTCTTCTACCAATGACATCTAATGGCAAAATGTCACTCATTATAAGACAGCAGGAATCCAAAATACAAGATCTAGGGAGGGAAACATGAAAAACTGACAAGAACTTAATAACCAAAGATTGTAGCCTAAGATGGCCTCAAGTGTTTAAACTTACAGCAAGTCCTACTGCCTCAACTGTTCAAGTGCTGGGGTAATGGTTGTAAGTCACCACACCTAGTCAAAGTTTCCCTTGGGGATTGAAGAAATGGCTTATTATGTAAGACAATTGCTAAGCACACACATGAAGACCTGAGTTTAGATTCCCCAGAAAAAGCCAAATGTGAGACAGTGTGAACCTATAATTCCAAAGCTTGCAAGAGGAGACAAGAGGATTCTTGGGGCTTACTGGTTAGCCAGTTTTGACAATTATTGGTGAGCTCCATGTTTAGTGATTAACACTGTCTCAATAGGCAAGGTGGAGCCAGGCAGTGGTGACTCACACCTTTAATCCCTGCACTCAGGATCAGAGGCAGATGGATCCATTCAAGGCCAGCCTGATCTACAAAGCAAGTTCCAGGACAGGCTCCAAAGTTATACAGAGAAACCCTTTCTCAAAATACATAAAATTAAAAAATTTTAAAAAGGCAAAGTGGAAAGTGATAGCATATAGACCTCTAGTCTCCATGGGTACACACATGCATGCACATGCACACATGATATTAAAGGACAATGGTTGGGCTGGGCTATGGTGGCTCTTGCCTTTAATCCCAGCACTTGGGAGGAAGAGGCAGGCAGATCTCTGTGAGTTCGAGACCAGCCTAGTCTACAGGAGCTAGTTCCAGGACAGCCTCCAAAACCATAAAGAAACCATCTCGAAACAAACAAACAAACACAAAAAAAGAAAGAAAGAAAGAAAAAAGAAAGGAAGAAAGAAAGAAAGAAAGCAGTGGTTGGGGCTGGAGATCTAGCTGAGTTGGTAATGTGCTTGCCTAGCACTCACAAAGCAGAGCGGCTCATGGCTTTAATCCTAGCAGTCAGAGGCCAACCTGGAATATGAGATCCTATCAAGAAAAGGATAACAACAACAACAACAACAAAAAGAATAACTCAAAATTTTAGGTGTGAAAATATAATGGATACTATCCCTTTGTTTGCTTTTTCTTTAAGACAGGCTCATGTAACCCTGCCCAGGCTGGCCTCAAACTCACTATGGGATTGGTCTTGACCTGATTCTCCTGCCTCCACATCTCAAGTGCTAGGATTACACACATATGGAACCATGCCCAGTGTATTCTGGAGACAAGATCTCCCATATAGTATATGGTAGCCTTGAACTCCTGATCCTCCTGCTCCCAAAATGCTGGAATTGGCTATGACATGCTCAGCTTGGCTATGACTTCTTTCAAACTGTGATCTTCTGAAAATAAACACTGAAATAAAGTTTCAAAAGCCATGTTTTAGATGTACCAGTAGCAGTGAAGACAATCCATAGAATGAAAAAGACACTGTGACTAGATTTTAGTTAAGTTTAGAATCAACATTTGGGAGAATAACTAGATAGAAATGGTGAAACAGAAAATTAGTATTCTTGGTTGGTTTGGTTTCTACCTTGGTGGTACTCTAAGACACAGCAACTTCTAAAGAGTCCTTGTACTACAATGGAGTCTTCAGCAATGAAAAGCAAAGGAAGTCATAACAGACCCTAACACATGGGGAAGTAAAACAGCTTACACAATTTGAGGAGACTAAGCAGTTAGTAGGAACTAGCCTGGGCTACTTAATGTTTTAGGAAACAGATTAATAGGCCAAGGCAAAGCCCTGCTCATAAGTCTGTGCCCTGAAGCAAAGTTCTAGTCAATGAGTAAGATGCCGTTCCTAGAATTCCACAAGCCAGAAAAGGAAAGAAACTCAAGAGTCCTGCCATGAGTCTGAGATTGCTGAGCCAAAGGGAATATGCATTTAAAATTTTGGTAACTAGTATCAAATGTCCTTTTATAATAGTTGTTCCAATATATATATAGTCCTATCAGGAGAATAAATCCATGTATCCTAACAGTCTTACCTTCACAGAATATCCACAAACTTTTACCAGTCTATGTTTTTTGTTTTATTTTGTTGTTTATGGTGGGAATCAAATCCAGGACTTGAGGCTTCCTATGCAAGGGCTCTACTGCTAAGCAAGATTGGTAAAACATGTATTTTACTTATATCCAGTTATAACAGAAGATGAGCACCTAATAACTTGGATTTACTTTTCTCTGGACTTATACTTGCTCTCCTTTCCTTTTGACTTCCTTGTTTTAGCTTTTTGTTTTGTTTTGTGAGTTCTATCCAGTCTCATCCTGTCTCCCATCTCTCCCCTCCCCACAAGACAGGGTTTCTCTGTGTGTAACCCTGGCTATCCTGGAACTTGCTCTGTAGACAAGACTGTCCTGGAACTCACACAGATCTGCCTTCCTCTGCCTCCCAAGTGCTAGGACTAAAGTTGTGCACCTCTGCCACCACCATCATACCTGGGGTTTTTCTGTTTTTTGATTTTGTTTTTTCTTGAGATAGGGTCTCTAGGACAACTCAGGCTGGCCTTGAATTCATTTTGTAGCTGAGGATGACCTTGAACTGATCTTCCTGCTATCACCTTCCCAGTGGTGGGATCAGACGTGTGTAGGTTTATGTGGTGCCAGAGAGGATTGCAGGGCTTTGTGCATGTTAGGCAAGCACTATACTCACTGAGTCACATCCCTAAGCCCCTTTGTTTGCTTTTCAGACGAGCTCTCAATATGTTGGCCTTGAACTCACAGCTCTTTTGCTTCTTCTAAATCACACTCAACTGTTTCCTATTGCTCTTGATGAAGTGACTAGTTCCTCAAAACAATTTGCAAAGAATTAAAACCATAAAGTCAACAACTATCTGTACAAATATGTTTATAACTTCATTATTCACTAACAGCCAAAAGATGGGGAAAGAAATCTAAGTGTTCATTAGAATAAAGAATATGGTAAATACTGTTGTGGGGTATTCACCAGGAAGACTGTTCAGACATGGGTTTAAGCTAACAGGAAGTCTTTATTGGCTAGCTGGTAACTACACTGGGTGTTCAGGATCCCAGTGTAGCCCTGAGCCTTTCTCAGGATGAGCTTTTAAGCACAAAAACCATGTTCTGGGTTGACACACGTCAGTTAACAGGAAGAGTTAGGCAGAAGTGGAACTACAGAAGCTAAAAAGTACTGTTAGCACATTAGTTTTCCAGAACTGTAGACTTTGATGGATCAGGCCTTTCTTTCTTTCTGTCTGTCTTTCTTTCTTTCTTTTTGCAGGTGGTGTTGTCTTTGTGCTGAGTTTTACTGCCTGAATGACACTTTTGTCATGGAGTCAGTTGTGCTAAAGGGTCTGTTACAATACAGCAAAAAGTATTATTCAACCTTAAGGACAGGTACCAAGTGATCCTTTTTCTATGCAGTATCCAGGCTTGTCAAACTCAAAAAGAGCATTGAGTGTGGTAGTGAATCCTACACTTGAGAGTAGATCTCTGTGAGTTTGAGGTCAGCCTGGTCTACATTTCAAATCCCAAGGCCAATTATGGCTACATACAGAGAATGTCTCAATTTTTCCCCCTTTGGTTTTTTCAAGACAGGGTTTCTCTGTATTGCTTTGGAGCCTGTCCTGGAACTACAACAGACCATGTCTAAATAGATAAATAAGTAAGTCACACATCAATCTATGATGTTTTCATTTTTTCATATTACCTACTTTCTAAATAATACTCATTTCACATTTAATATGTTTATCATGTTCCATACCTCCTACACATATCCTACACATATGACAGGGAAAATGTCATATGAGTTTTGATGTGCTAAATTTAAATATATATATATATATATATATATATATATATATATATATATATATATTATTAAACTGCATGATAAAAGTTTAATAAATTAAAACACACACACTGGGAAACAGTTCTAACTACTAACTCTATTGTTAAGAAATTCTCCAGACATGGTGGAACACACCTTCAATACCAACACTTGGGAAGTAGAGTCAGGTAGAGAGTTCTGTGAGGCCAGTCTGGTCTACAAAGGGAGTTCCAGGACAGCTAGTGCTGTTACACAGAGAAATCCTATCTCAAACCCCCACAATCCCCACCAAAGAAGAAAGTCATTCATATCACATAAAAAATAATTAAATGCTGAGATGAGCTAGGAAGCTTGCTGAAAATCAGCAACTTGAAGGTTAAAAAAAAAAAAAGTATTCCTCCCAGGGTAAAAATTCTATTTAGATTTTAATGAAGAATATACAGTAAAATTAAGTCAATCACAAGAAAGATAAAAACAGTGTATCTTTTAAATACATAGCAGGGGGGAAAGAGGAAATGAATTAACAATTCAAAAAAAATGGCAAGAAAGTACAAAGTGCAGGGCTGAGAGATGACTCAATGGATAAAACCTTTGCTATGCAAGCATGAGAACAAGATTTTAGATTCCCAGAACCCATGTAAGCACTCGGCATGTGTGACGGCCACCTGTAATCCCAGCATCTGGGATTAGAGACCGGATCCTTGGAGCAAGCTGGCTAGCTACATTAACAGGAATTGGTGAACTCCAGGTTCAGCAAGAGATATTGCCTCAATAAATAAAATGCAGAGAGATCAAGGAAGACACCAAATGTCAAATTCATGCCTCTGCATGCACACATGTGTACATGCATCTGTACCACATATATGTCCCATCCCAAGTACACAAATATGCATACACTCACACAAGTAAAGTACAAAGTATTGGGTATAAGATGTAGCTCATTGGCAGACTGTGTAAGCTAATATAGTATGGTAGAAAAGTGAAAATATGTTCATTCAACAATTAAGAGTGTCTACTAAAAGCATGACACTTCTAGGTAATAAGTGCACAGCAAAAAAAATACCTGCCCTCTAGAAGCTTCTATCCTTGTGGTGAGAAACAAAATAAACCAGATAACATAGCATGAACTTAGTAATAAACACAAGGACAAGAAGTACAGTGGCTCTGTTAAAGATGGAAAAAAGTTGGCTAAGGAAGTAGTACTCCAAAACAGATAATAGAGGTAAGGTATTGAACCATGTGGCCATATAGAAGACCATACAG